GAAGTGGCAATAGAATAGACAATTGGATTAAAAAGTTTCAGAATTTTTATTAGTAAAAGGATGACTGCACTTAAGGATATGCGAAATCTGCGACAAAATAAACTTTCAAAACAAGCATTTTTCTTTTCATTGCAAGAATGGCCAACATCCAATCTACAACTTTATGTAATTACGTTTAATAAAAGTGTGTATTTACGAAGTTCGAATCTGTTTTCAAAGGCAGGGGTCATCACAATTTCTTGAATCTCCGTACGATAATGAGGACGCCCACTTTTTTACTGACTTTATACGTAGTCAGCGCATGTTTGTCTATTGTTCTCCGTTTCACAATAGTTGTATATTTGCATAAATAATAATGTGTCAAAAGGAGATTAATAGACAAACATGCGCTCATGGTTAAAAAGAGAAAAAACTGCTTCTTCTTACATTCGCTCTCTGTGTTGTAAACAAGGATTGCGACATGTTGAATATTATAATTCACCACGTGATGTCCTACCTCAGGTAACTCTGTGAATACTAAATTCCGTCACGTGACTTGTAAGGTAGCATGTTTTGTGCTAACTAGGACATTGTGTTCGAATACGTTAAGTCATCTGGCATGGATATACAATCTGCTTTAATTACATTGACGTGCTCATATTGTTAGCTTCGTATTGAAACCTTTGTCAGAAGTGTATTTGTGCCATACAGAATGGAGAGGGAGATTGGAAAGAGTGACCACATTCTTTTTTTCAAACATGTGATTGTTATTTATCAAGTATAATTTTAGACCCATATTTACAATGTTAGCTCCACCTCTTATGCATATCTAATGTTCATTCAAGGGCAGGTAAGTGTAAATTCACTATATTTTGAAAGCACTAAGGACAAAAAACATTGAATCATTTTATTGTATCACAGTCTAAAATCATTTTAAGATTTAAATTTGGTTCCAAATTGACAGGATTCTTTCATAAACATACAAAAGTGAAATAAAGTTTAGATATAAAAGCAACAGAACCAACCGAAAAAGACCCAAAAACAGGCGTTAAGTGCAGTCATCCTTTCTTTTGAAAAAAGAAAATATCATTACACCTTAAAAGACTTTCTAAAAAACATAATCACAAGAAAATATAGTTTTTTATGCTTCAAAATGGTAAAAGGGGTACCGGTATAAATGATTAAATCTAGACCTTGATTGAGTATCCTCTCTTGTATATGTGACAAAAAATGGCTTTTTGATTGTTATTTTACATTGTTTTTTCAATTCTGGTTTGAAAAGTTTTAATAAAAATATGAAGCAATAAAATTCCCCATAATTCACTTTTTTGTCTGTTCAAGTCAATTCTTTAAATCTAAGCCAAAAAAGAATTTTTACATACGAGTTTTCTTACAAAAAATATTAGATTTTGAAGTGACCCTATGTTACATTATTGTGTTGCACTCCTGACATCTGATATGTATTTTATTTAACATTGTTTTAAAAATTATAACATACAATAACCCATTCTTACTTTGTAAATCAATTTGTCGTTTTGATATTTTTCATCGTTTATGGCAGGTTTTTCATATTTTGAAGACCTTAAAACATGATTATTCGCATCTTCGCTAGCCAAGGGTTTCTGATACGCTACTCTCCTCATAAGTTTATGAGGAGAGTAGTGTATCAGAAACCCTTGGCTAGCGAAGATGGATTATTTGCAAAGTGTAATATATGTAAATTGTATTTAAAAATATATGTGAAATGATGAAAACTATTCCCTGAATTGACTGTAAAATTTCTGTAATTTGTTGATAACAGCAAATAGTATCAAACATTTTTTTTCAACTTATTTTTCAGTAAAGATACTTAAAAAGCATTGGAAATTATAATAAAAGCAGTTTTGTTGCACTCCTGACTGCAGTAAAATTTAAAATTAAAACTATATAACACAAAAATTCATAAAGTGTTGGCAACATCAAGTGGTAATGAAATTGTGCAATATTTATAGCTCAATACTTCATAATTAAAACAGATGAAAGTATTCAAAATTCGCATTTTATCTAGAATTGTTCCCTATTTATGCCAAAAAACTAGCTTAAATGTATATTTAGAAGATAAAATATATTTTATAGCATATTTTCCTTTAGAGGACAAACACAGTAACCCACCAGAAAAATTCTACTCATCATTTTTTCTTAATTTTTATTCTTATTGGATGATTTATAATCCTAACATATTTGTTGCACTCCTGGTAATGTGAAGTGAAAATTACATAAGATCTTGTTCTGTTGTTTCAGTGAAGTTGAGGAGGAATTACTTGAATTTTATGACAATTTTTAGTGAGTTTATTTTTAACGTTCATTATGGAGAGAACGATTATAGGCATTATGCCTGCTGTTCAATCCATTTCATTTGTAATGAATAAAATATATTTTAAACTAACGTTCATTAAAAAAATCACAAAAAAGATAAAAACACGTCTGAATTGATAAAATTGAAAAGGAAGGACTTTAATAATAAAACTGGCAATAGTTTAGTATTAAATTATACAACAAGATCATTATTAATTATTGAATACTTCTAAGCATGAATATAAGTGTTTTCGTGACACATCTTGAATCTTTAAAAAAATGTGTTGCACTCCTGACCATAGAAATATAGATCTGAAGCACAGACAGATCCGGTAATTGATAAATCTATTTGGTAAAAATGTTCTTTGTGTCTTTATTTTCCAAAATAAAAATCAGAAAATCATATAATGATAATAGTTTTTTCATGCTTGGGAGCAAACCATCAAATGTTGCACTCCTGACATTATTGGGTATGCACATATACTTGACTCTCATTAATGCTGCTTGTGATTTATATAACATTTTTAAGTTTTAAAATGTATATCAGTTATTGTTTTACACTTCGAAAATTCTTTTTTGTCTTAATTTTCTTTTAGAATTTTACAATTGATGTTTTTTTTGGCAACACTACATTTTTTCTGTTGCACTCCTGACATGGTATAACATTTTTTTAAACATCGATCAGCCATGACCACAACTTGATTAAACAAAAGTTACTTAAGTCCACATTTAAAGCTCAATACTTTGAATATTATCAGGAGAGTCTTTATTTTCAACATAAAGCATTATTATTTATTTTACAGATCTCCAAAAAATATTGAAATTTCAAAATGTCACAAAAAGGTGTTGCACTCCTGACAATTTTAGCATCATTTTTGGGTATAACTTTTTTTGTTATTTGAGATATCAACGAGATATTTGGCAGGTATTTAGACACTATCTCAAGGCATATGCTGAGACATAGAAATCTATTTTCATTGCCTGTATTTTTAGTGTGGGCTGATGAAAATGCATTTGGTCATTTTTTTTTAATTCACCCTTAAAGTTCTCAGCTAGCTAGAGCAGGTCCATTTCCAAGTGACTACAATTAAGTCCTCAAAGTTAGACTTGTGTGGATGTTGCATTTAGGGATGCACATTTAATTACAAGAACATTCAAATTCACAATATTATAATAATCATGAATTTATTGATTATAAAATTGAAACAACTTTCAACAGAGTTTAGATACATAAACAATTGTCAAACATTGAAGGCTGTAATGAAGGACACCAAATCCAGTTTTTGAATTCATGAATTCATGAGTATGCAGTATTCCCTGAAGATTCTTGCAAACACTCATCAATATACACTGTGGATTTTAAGTAATCCTAAAATTATTTTGCTGTAAAATGTGAAAAATAATAACATACCAAGTTCACTTGTAAACATTAATTTTAAAAGGGGTAAATATCAGAAACCAAAATGCACAATATAGTTAAAATAAATGTAATAACTTTGATAGATGTGCACATATACTTGTAATTTGGACTTTTAAACTCTATGTACAAGAGGACCATGAGCTGCAACAGCTCGAACTGCAGTGTCCACCAAAAACTTTTCAGCGCTGCAGGCCTAGTCATGTACATTTAATTGGAATTTTACTCCACAATTATACATTAAAATTGACTAACAACCTTTGATTGGAAAGAGGTAAAAAATGAGGCATTTTTCATAATATATCCAAAATAAATATTAATTTTCTAGGCATATATAGTAATAAATGCATATTGCAAGGTATGCTTCACTAGGTTAATCACACAGGCACTTGTTTCTGTAATAAATTTTTACTCCATACCATGGGTAATTTTTTTTTCTTTTTTTTTACAGAAACAAGTGCCTGTGGTCATGCAATCAGAGTAGAGCTGACCAACTATATACATTCATGCAAACCTGTTGTTAGCTTGAAGTCCATGGGGCCAAGAAAAAACATTGAAATATCTGAGGATTTGAGATATTGAGATTTAAAAGACTTACAGGAAAGTGGTTAGAACTTCTGACTCACTGCAACATATTAATAGAGTTTTGAGATACCAATATTAGAGACTGTATTAGGCTGTCCAAATTAATTCTATGTTTAACGTCACCCATGTGCGTAGGTTTCGGAGAAATTGGCACTTTGAAAATACAAACAAATTGACATTTTGTAAGCTTGTATTCCGGTTTGCCCTGACTGCATTCCATAAGATTAGCCAATATTTGGGTCCTGTATTAGGTATATTTGAGATGTGTCTATCATTTATACTGACAGATTTACTAAAAATTATCATTAAAGAACAAGCCATAATGATGCACAAATATTTCCATTTCTGTTTTCTCTGTGATAACTCTTTGAAAGTTAGGTGAGTTGATTTCTCGATGATTCAACCAGAATGTTAATTTCACCAAGTGAAAGGTCCGGAGTCTTATATGCATGTCAATCTTGTGGGGCTGTGTTTGTGGCTGATGTCAGTGGGTGGGGACTATTGAAATTAACACATGAGGCCTTGTGTATTTAAAATCTATTAGACAGCATTTTTTAAAATTTATTTTTACAATTTTAATTCACATATAAATGTAAATATAAGGAATCACTGTCTAGTTTGTTGGGTATGCCAGGGACATCAACGATAGTTGGAAACATGGGATAATTTATGCATAACAGGCTTCACCTGTTATGCAAATTATCCCACGTTTCCAACTATCATTGATGCCCTGGCATACCCAACAAACTAGACAGTGATTCCATAAATATTTACAGTATTTTGATTCATGTAAATAAGTAATATACTCATTTGTTTGAAATTTTTGTTTAATTTTTTTCTCCCTCTCTCGTATGGGTGACGTTAAATGTAGAATTAATTTCAGGCAGCCTTAGCATAATTTAACAAGGTTCAGTCTATGGACCTTTCAGTTTAAAGTGTCATTACTTTTTAAAATGAAAATTCAAAAATCCGAACACCTTATTGTGGTCAAAAATTTTATCACACAAAAACTGTTAATCTACTTTAGTATTGCTGATTGCATGAAAAATTATTGTTTTAGAATGTCTATATATTCCATAGTTTCATGGAGATGACTGAATAGTTCTTGAATATTTTAACTATTAATTTTAATAGTAGGTTCTAGTTAAAATTCTATTTTCACTATTTTCTTTGAATTTTCTTCATATAGATGGAAACATGGTCATTTAATTTGAACACTGTTGAATCCTTTTCAAACAAGAATGCTTTGTGCCAAGTTTGGTTAGAACTGGCTATGTGGACCGGATATAGAGAAAACTCCAAAAATGTTAAAAGCTTACAGACAAATGCAAGACACTTTTAAGGAAAGCTTACTGGCTTAATACAAAATATACATGTATACAAGACAACAAAATTAATGACTTTAAAATACTGGTATCACATTAATTTCTGTACATGATATCACAGTATACATAATTTTAGCCTAGTTAAACACTATACAGTAAGACCTCATTATCTCGAACTCTATGGGACTGAGAAAAAAACTTTGAGATATCCTAGTATTTGAGATATCGAGGATAAAATACTTGAAGAACAAGTGTTTGGGACTTCCAAACCACTTCAACATATCCATGGTATTCGAGATATCAGTGTTCAAGATACTGAAGTTCAACTGCATTGCAATTTTCAGATCTGATGGCACATGTTACTCATGTGGTGAAGCCAGCAAAATTGAGGCTTTAACCTGTTTGGATAGGAATGCATTTGCTTCTAGCAGTAATACATACACACTCAGGCATACAATGACCATCAGATAATAACCCATGTGTTGCTGGATGAACATTAATAAAATCTAACTAATGCATGTAACTGTACATGTATATAGGGAAACAGGTCAAAACACACATACTGTAATTATTGGGTATGGTATAACCATATAAGTGCATGTTCCTGTACAAAAGAAATGTCTGTAGAATAGTATGATAGTAAAGATCCATGTATAATTCATAGATGCATAATATCACTGTACAACCACTTGTTCCTGTTGCACTTAGAGGCAGTCACTTTCTTCATCTGGCATCACAATTACTACATCCATATGGCCAAAAAGTGTGTAACTATGATCTACAATTTAAAGTTTCTGTTTCTTAAATTTTACCAGTTTTTCTGTTCTCCATCTTACCAATTCACACTAAGCTGCAGGAACTTGTGCATATATCATAGTGATATCAACCTCTGAAAGACCGAGAGATTCCTAATTGTAACACACTGAATTTCTCTTCAATCTTGTTCCATGTCCTCCTCTACTCTCAGCTCAACAATCCTTGCCAGCATTTCTTGGAATTTTTCTTCCTCACCAGAGAGGAAAGAGATGATGATTTTTACAGCATCGGCATCTACCCCAATGACGTCCAGCATGTCTGGGTCTCCAGGATCAGCAACCGGAGGAACATCACCGCTGTTCTTGAAGCAGATTGTGATAAGTGATGTGTTTTTCCTACTCTTCTTAAACTGTGCATATTCTCTTCTTATATCTATTTGATCTTCTGTGGTAAGGTGGTCTGTCATGATGATAATTGCGTCAACATGCTCCAGATTCTCATGAGCATACCGAAATGGTGCTCCGAAATTGGTTGGTTCGTAATCCTTTCGAGTGCCTATGGATTCCAATACTTTCTCAGTGTCAAACATGCCATCCGGAGTTAACTGAAAATCAAATCCTTGTACTCTGTATCTACTTCCAAATGTAATGGTGTGGGCTGAACTGCTATACACATTTTTGAGAGTCATTGTTAGGGCAATAGCTGTCTGCTTGCAATTCATTGATGGGATTCCAACAACATGGTTTTCCATTGCAATCTGAGTGTTTATTGCAACCAGGATACGTTTTGAATGTCCTTGTATCCTGTTAGATGTCAACTGGATCATAAACGCTTTTGTTAGAGACTCAACAATATTAGGATTGACTTCCCATCTACGTTGGTTGCTGCGCAATTCTCGTCCCCTCCTATAACCATTAAGAGAGGACAGGATCTGAATGGGATGAAGATTTGCTTCTTTTAAGATATCTTGATTTTCAATTCTGGAGCAAACTCTCTTCTCTTCAACACTCCCAGGCTGAAGCAATCCAAATTTGGTCAGTTTGCCTAAATTTCTCAACAATGCAGTCATTGGCATCATGTGAAGCAACGCCTTCCAAACTTGTTTGAATCGCAAAAATTCATTAGGTATTTGCTCCCATGTGAGATTCCATTTCCTAATCATTCCTATTAAATCATCTTCTGGTACATTTTTGTTTTTAATTGTCTCCACATCTCCTATGAATTCTGCTACACTATGGGTAATCCTTCCACCCTCCTTTTGTCGTAACCGATTTGCTTTGGTTATACCTTTAGTAACATAGCACAAAATATACTTTATGTCTGGTGGACATTTGGCTGGATTTGGATGACAAGATTTAATTACTCTTTTGTGTGTTATTCCATGACGTTTCTTATACTTGGTCACATGTCTTGCCAGAAGCAGTGGATCATTAAGGTAACGGGGGTTTTCTGTGTACCATCTAGCTATGGCTTTTCTGTGTTTTCTAGGCCACGATTTCAGATCCAAGGACTTCTGACAGTAACTCAAAAACAGAAACAAATGGCCTGGTATCTTACATACTGTCTGAATAGCCTCATAAGCTTTCCTGGAGACAGTTTGATTCGTGCTCCTGGCACATACTGCTAGGGTGTAGGCCAAAGGATAAAATCGACAATTCATTTCGGATGCATCTTTAATCTTCTCCACAAGCTGCTCTCCTCCCCCTCTCTGAATGACTCTGAAATTAGAAAAATTCCATCAAATTCCTGAGAGATGTCAGGATGCCTATGGGGAAATTATTATACCTTTGAGAAATTATAAGCTCTTAATTTTTTTTAAAATAAAGTGTGTGTTGGGGGGGGGGGGGCTATCGATCCACACATCAGGTGCCTGTGACTTATCCATGCTTCACCACACACAAGGTGGTGTACAGTGAGTTACTCAAACATCTGCTTAAAAGTGATCAAAAGCAGCAATGTTTTAACGATCTTTGCTCTGGGTTGATTTTTTTAAAAACTCCACAGTACAAATATTCATAAGTATCATATACATGATATACTTGCGATTTATTTTTTGTCTATTCTATATAAAGAGGACACTTTAAAATAGCTAAATAAAGCTACTTCGAGTAGGTAAATAAAGCTATGTATTTCAAGCTACGTAGCTAAATGTAGTGATTGTACTAGACAGTACTAGACTGCTAGACCTGCTATATTTTAATTAGCTCGTCCTAAGCATTATACAAGTGAGGGAAATGTTTTTACCTCAAAATAAATTTCTCAAATGAATTCTCCAGATTTTTGATACGTGGTGTATATACACTTTTGTCATTGCCAAAGCGAAGAAACCGCCATAATCTTATAGTGTCATCGCTTCGGTTTTCCATGTTTTTCACCTTCCAACTCCCTCTTGGAGAAGAAACGAAAGTAGAAATTGAACAACGAGCCCGATAAATTTTTTTTATATGATGTATGCGGCATCGAAGGTGACAAAAAAATGATGTGAGAAATATACACGCTTTTCTTTGGATATGTAGCTTAAGTAAATTTTATTTAGCGAATTTGGCTATTTATTGAAATGATTCGGAGAAGAATACAAAATAATATAAATATTTTCAAATTCGATCTTCTAAGCGGCCTTTTATGGTTTCAACATGGCCCCGGAAAAGTAAATCTCTACATGACTTACTAAATCCATGAACATCTTGTTCATAAAAATTAATTTCTCAATTCAATCCCCGTTTCAGCATTCAAAAATGATTAATTTGTAATATCAGATATATAATTGATCTAAATATCCATGGGTTTTATACGAAATTAGAAATGTTGAGTCAATACTATAAACGTAACTGAGCTATGATGATTTGTTAATTCATATTCAGTGGTGCGGCTGGTGCCTAAGTATTTTATATTTGAAAATGAAATAGTCACTGACACTTGAGTAGTCAAAACATCCTTGTTTGCAAGTGAATGGTCAGTTTAATAAAAGTATTTGAGAGAGGACCCATCTCTTATCCGCATCTCCAACACCGTTGAATTAAAATATTAATATTGTTTATGTTTATTCACCAATCAAGAGCCCCCAGGGGGAATATACAATTATTTCAGAATGATTACATATAAATAATATTAAAGTATATTGTAATATGAAAGAATATAAATCATATCTATCATGAAGGTACAAATGAAAGATGTATAATACCACGAGTAATTAAGATACTCATGAAAATGCAAGATTTGCAACATAATCACAATAGTCTGAAACTGGATCAAAAATATGGAATAGGAAGAAAACTACAGGAAGATTAAGAAAATGATAATAATAGCAGTATGCTGATTTACAAAGATTATTACTTGATGCCATTATTACCTTCTATTTAACTTTTTGATTGGACATATATTTAGGTTTCCCATAACAGAACATGGACACTGCCATTCTTTCTATAATATTGGGGGGTATCCATCTCTGATCTGCAACTCTGCTTATATCACTGAATAAAATTTAATGAGACTTGCACAGAATCTTCATACATAGTGCCATTGTGCACCCCCTATTTTAATTTTTATTAGACACATATTCTAGCTTATCCATAGCAAAAAATGGACTATGCCATTGTACTCGTATAATATTGTGTGAGTTCAGTGCTCACAGTACCTGATTTTGGGGAAAGACTTGTCATTAATGTGGAAATGTAAGATACATGGCATCTTACTAGGTTGGACTAGTGGTTTAACCCTTAAGCTTAATTGGTAGAGCCAGGGACCTATATACTATAGTATATAGGTCCCTGGTAGAGCACTGGACTGTCGTGCAAGAGGTCCCGCGTTCAAATCCATTTGGAGGCACAAATCTGTCTTTGTTACATTCTTGTACAATAAGTTCTCATTTATTCTGCAAGTAAAATGAAAACCTTTTGTTGACTTGGAATTATTTTGCTTTTTAGTAAGAAGCTTCCGCGTGTGCCTGAAACTCTCTTAAAGAAGAGAAAAAGAAATGAAGAACTACGAGCTAAATTTGCCAACGCAAAGCTTGAAAATAAACGAGTAAGCAATTAAACATAATCATTTGTGTGGTAAGAAAAAAAAGAAAAGTATTATAACTCTAAAGACATCTGAGAGAATTATGCAAGGGTTCAATGATTACTATACCCTAACATATTTCATTTTAATGATGTTTAGTAAACAATGTCATTAACTGCTTTTTTGCTCTTGCTTATTTCATTTTGTATTGATATTCTGTATCCATTGGTTTCTTAAAATTGGTATTTTCACAGTAATATTCTTTTCTAAAAATAAAACTGCAGTTTAAATATGACTGTTTATAATATATAATTGATAATGAAAAAAATGACTTGAAAAATGAAAAAAGCATTTGAGATGCAGAATATTCATTTTTTTAAAAGAAAATTACTGTTTAAAGGGTAGTAAGAAAGTCAACTGAATCTTTATTAAATTTACACATCATGGGTATGACAGTAATTTTCCATGTTGGGAGAATTTTGATGTACAAGAAGAATTATTTTCAGTGCTTATTGAGGTTGTAATGATTTACAATAAAGCCACCTTCTTCTAATTCTCTTAATGATGGGACTCCAAACATTTTTGTGAATCTGTACAGTACGGAAATGAATAAGAAAATGTAGGATTACATTGTCTGGTATCATCTTTCATGTCACTGTCAAGGAGGAGAAACACACACACTTAAAATGCTTTTGAAGAAACTTTGAATCATGTCTTTTGGGAGACTACAGTTGAGTTTTCAGTGCCAACAGGTGCTTTTAGCTTCAAATATTAGTAGGTGAAAATTCTTGGCAGTTTTGTGAAATTTTTTCTATTTACCAGAAATTGAAAGAGAAGAAGAAGATTATTTTCCGACGAGCAGAAAAGTACATTAAAGAGTACAGAGCTAAGGAGAGAGATGACATCCGAATGGCAAGACAAGCCAGAAAGAATGGAAATTTCTTTGTTCCTGATGAACCCAAGCTTGCATTTGTGATGAGAATCAGAGGGTAAACAACTTTGTTCCAGTTTTTATGGTAGCAGTACTTCATTGTTGTAAAAGTGTGCAACTTTTCATTTTAACATTTGCAAGCAAAAAAAAAAAAAAAAAAAAAATCACAGTGTAGCTTATTTGGAAGAAATGCATTTGTTTGTACATCACATTTAATAGATGGTCAACCCCTTAGAGGTGTATAAAAATCATGAAGTTAATAAGATTTAGATTTACTTGTCCTTTGTTCTGCTAGCAGGAGAGAAAATTTTGATCCGTAGCATGGATTTGATTTCCAAGACTATTTGCATTTTTTTATTTATTTATTTATTTTTTTTTTTTTACAAAATCTTTTTGAAGCAAAGACGTTTCAATTGCTGCTGTTCATTTTGTAGTATCAATGGTGTTCATCCCAAGCCCAGGAAGGTTATGCAACTTTTCCGTTTGAAGCAGATCAACAATGGCGTTTTTGTGAGACTCAACAAAGCGACAGTTCACATGCTGAGAATTGCTGAACCCTTCATTACATGGGGGTAAGGAAAGAAATAAGTTTGTTCCTACTACATATTCATGCAGTAATGATGATGCTTTGTTTGCTACAGATTACAATAAAACAGCTGACTGTAATACTGTAAACATGGAAATTAATGCATGAAGGTAATTTATGGTAAATACAGGATAAGAAAGATTTCATGTAAAAATCCCTTGTGTATCAAAGCCTTTATACATCTTTTATTCAGTTTTTACATTACTTAATTCTTTGTATCACAAAAAAAACCCATGCTTAATGTGCTTGGTACTTAATCGCGTAATTATCAACACTCTAAATATCTACATTTACAGTATCTGTTCAAGTCAGGAATGTTATTGTGATAATGTCAGAGACTTTGAGTATATTTCTTAAGGAGAAAAAACTACACAAACAAATATTTTTTTCTTAGCTGAACTCAAAGCTATCTTGAAAGTCATTTTATTAACATACATCATTTTAAAGAACTTTATCTAGCCAAGAACATGAAGTATTTATATGTTTAGGATGTAATGAACAAGAGAAAAGATGAAACGGTGTGTTGCTTAAATTGATTTGTTTGAAAATTCACAATTTTTTGCATTTTAGGTACCCCAACCTCAAGAGTGTGAGAGAGTTAGTATACAAACGAGGATATGGAAAAGTAGGAAACCAGCGTGTCCCTCTCACAGACAATGCCATTATTGAGAAACAATTAGGTATTATATGTTCATAGTTTTAAATAGTTAAACATGTATTTAAAATTCAGTTTATAGTAAATCTCATAGTTAACTTTGACAAGTTTTATGCACATGTCAGATCTTTTCAGGAAAATATGGTATCATCTGTATGGAAGACTTGATCCACGAGATCTACACAGTTGGACCTAACTTCAAATATGCTGCCAATTTCTTGTGGCCATTCAAACTGAACACACCCAATGGTGGCTGGAGAAGGAAGTATAACCACTTTAATGACGGAGGAGACTTTGGCCTGCGTGAAGATGGTGTTAACCCCCTGTTACGCAGAATGGTGTAACTCGTATCATGTGATACAATAAAGACAAGAAAAATATTGTTTACAGTATTTGTTTCTCTATGAAAAGATAGGATTGAGGATAGACATTTAATATCCAGAATGGTGTACTGTAGTTTTTTTTTTGTTTTGTTTTTTTCATCATAACAAAAGTTGAGAATCAAAACGATTAGAAATTGCATAGGCATACAAATTGAAAAAGAGAGGAGAATAATGTTTTCTGTACTGTGTCCAGAGAGCACACTATTAGAAGTGCCCATTATACTGCTCTTTCCCCATGAAAAGAAGCTGTTTATACCTGTACCTGTAGTAGTAATAAATAAAGGAATAAGTTAGTGATATCATACTTGAAGTACTTGTAGAATCATTCACAGGCTTATTGATTGTTTGATTTAGAAGAGTACAACTTGTATGTGATCTTTCAGTCTTTTGCTTACCTCAGGAATTTTTTTTTTTTTTTTTGAAGAGAGAATGAGTGTCGGTAAGGAAGTCTTTTTTTTTTTTTAAGAGTATAAGTCTTGCAGTTGCATGCTTGCCACAGAAATGATGTTATTGGAGGAAAAGAGTTCTTGAATGTAGATCCAAGGTCAAAGAATGTAGATACAAGGTCAAGACATTTATTAAACTGGACTTTTGGATTTCGTACTTCCTAAAGAGGCAAAGTGGAAGATGGAGGATATCGTAATAGCTGCAGACTGTTGTGGACAGGTTTAGTTAAAATTATCTCCTTTGTTGCTTGCCAGCATAATGAATAATGACAACATATGAGAAGAGCACTAGAAGAGAGTCCAAAGGTAGCTACCTACATCAATATGTGTGTTTTATCGGTTTTCTGTATACCCCAGTAATTATGATAGATAAAAAGGAGGGGTGTGTAAGTATAGTGTAATTTATCCTCATTGATCATTATTTCTCAGAATGGAGGGAATTTTTTTAAACTCCCTACTTGAAAAGGTGGGGGGGGGGGAGGGGTTATGGTGATTGGGGTGTATGTCCACTGTTACACTTGGGGTACCCATCTCTTACTGGCAACTCCATTTAATGAGACTTTTACATAATCGTCTTTTACACTGTGCCATTTTTCACCTATTTTATATTTGGGTACGTTTCCCACAGGAAAACATGGACACTTTCATTCTTTCTATAATATTTGGGGTACCCCTCTCTATCTGGAACTCCTCCTATATCACTGAATAATATTTAATGAGACTTTCACAGAATCTATTACATATATAGTACCATTGTGCACCTCCAATTTATTTGTTTTGATCATACACATTTTTAGCTCACCTGAGCTGAAAGCTCAAGTGAGCTTTTCTGATCACCCGTTGTCCGTCGTCCGTCCGACTGTAAACTTTTCACATTTTCATCTTCTTCTCAAGAACCACTGGGCCAATTTTAACCAAACTTGGTACAAAGTATCCTTGGGTGAAGGGGAGTGTAAATTGTTAAAATAAAGGACCAAGTCCCCTTACAAGGGGAGATAATCAAGTCAGGAATAGGGTGGGGTCATTAAAAAATCTTCTTCTCAAGAACCACTGGGCCAGAAAAGCTGAAACTTATGTGGAAGCATCCTGGGATAGTGTAGATTCTAAATTGTTAAAATCATGACCCCCGGGGGTAGGGCGGGGCCACAATAGGGAATCCAAGTTTTACATTGAAATATATAGGAAAAATCTTCTTCTCAAGAACCACAGGGCCAGAAATACTGAAACTTATATGGAAGCATCCTTGGGTAGTGTAGAATCTAAATTGTTCAAATCATGACCCCCGGGGGTAGGGCGGGGCCACAATAGGGAATCCAAGTTTTACATTGAAATATATAGGAAAAATCTTTTAAAATCTTCTTCTCAAGAACCACTGGGCCAGAAAAGCTGAAACTTATATGGAAGAATCCTGGGGTAGTGTAGAATCTAAATTGTTCAAATCATTATCCCCGGGGGTAGGGCGGGGCCACAATAGAGAATCCATGTTTTACATTGAAATATATAGGAAAAATCTTTAAAAATCTTCTTCTCAAGAACCACTGGGCCAGAAATACTGAAACTTTTATGGAAGCATCCCGGGTCTTAGTGTAGAATCTAAATTGTTCAAATCATGACCCCCGGAGGTAGGGCGGGGCCACAATAGGGAATCCAAGTTTTACATTGAAATATATAGGAAAAATCTTTAAAAATCTTCTTCTCAAGAACCACTGGGCCAGAAATACTGAAACTTTTATGGAAGCATCCTGGGGTAGTGTAGAATCGAAATTGTTCAAATCATGACCCCCGGGGGTAGGGCGGGGCCACAATAGGGAATCCAAGTTTTACATTGAAATATATAGGAAAAATCTTTAAAAATCTTCTTCTCAAGAACCACTGGGCCAGAAATACTGAAACTTATATGGAAGCATCCTGGGGTAGTGTAGATTATAAATTGTTCAAATCATGACCCCTGGGAGTAGGGCGGGGCCACAATAGGGAATCCAAGTTTTACATTGAAATATATAGGAAAAATCTTTACAAATCTTCTTCTCAAGAACCACAGGGCCAGAAATACTGAAACTTATATGGAAGCATCCTTGGGTAGTGTAGAATCTAAATTGTTCAAATCATGACCCCCGGGGGTAGGGCGGGGCCACAATAGGGAATCCAAGTTTTACATTGAAATATATAGGAAAAATCTTTTAAAATCTTCTTCTCAAGAACCACTGGGCCAGAAAAGCTGAAACTTATATGGAAGAATCCTGGGGTAGTGTAGAATCTAAATTGTTCAAATCATTATCCCCGGGGGTAGGGCGGGGCCACAATAGAGAATCCATGTTTTACATTGAAATATATAGGAAAAATCTTTAAAAATCTTCTTCTCAAGAACCACTGGGCCAGAAATACTGAAACTTTTATGGAAGCATCCCGGGTCTTAGTGTAGAATCTAAATTGTTCAAATCATGACCCCCGGAGGTAGGGCGGGGCCACAATAGGGAATCCAAGTTTTACATTGAAATATATAGGAAAAATCTTTAAAAATCTTCTTCTCAAGAACCACTGGGCCAGAAATACTGAAACTTTTATGGAAGCATCCTGGGGTAGTGTAGAATCGAAATTGTTCAAATCATGACCCCCGGGGGTAGGGCGGGGCCACAATAGGGAATCCAAGTTTTACATTGAAATATATAGGAAAAATCTTTAAAAATCTTCTTCTCAAGAACCACTGGGCCAGAAATACTGAAACTTATATGGAAGCATCCTGGGGTAGTGTAGATTATAAATTGTTCAAATCATGACCCCTGGGAGTAGGGCGGGGCCACAATAGGGAATCCAAGTTTTACATTGAAATATATAGGAAAAATCTTTACAAATCTTCTTCTCAAGAACCACAGGGCCAGAAATACTGAAACTTATATGGAAGCATCCTTGGGTAGTGTAGAATCTAAATTGTTCAAATCATGACCCCCGGGGGTAGGGCGGGGCCACAATAGGGAATCCAAGTTTTACATTGAAATATATAGGAAAAATCTTTTAAAATCTTCTTCTCAAGAACCACTGGGCCAGAAAAGCTGAAACTTATATGGAAGAATCCTGGGGTAGTGTAGAATCGAAATTGTTCAAATCATTATCCCCGGGGGTAGGGCGGGGCCACAATAGAGAATCCATGTTTTACATTGAAATATATAGGAAAAATCTTTAAAAATCTTCTTCTCAAGAACCACTGGGCCAGAAATACTGAAACTTTTATGGAAGCATCCCGGGTCTTAGTGTAGAATCTAAATTGTTCAAATCATGACCCCCGGAGGTAGGGCGGGGCCACAATAGGGAATCCAAGTTTTACATTGAAATATATAGGAAAAATCTTTAAAAATCTTCTTCTCAAGAACCACTGGGCCAGAAATACTGAAACTTTTATGGAAGCATCCTGGGGTAGTGTAGAATCGAAATTGTTCAAATCATGACCCCCGGGGGTAGGGCGGGGCCACAATAGGGAATCCAAGTTTTACATTGAAATATATAGGAAAAATCTTTAAAAATCTTCTTCTCAAGAACCACTGGGCCAGAAATACTGAAACTTATATGGAAGCATCCTGGGGTAGTGTAGATTCTAAATTGTTCAAATCATGACCCCTGGGAGTAGGGCGGGGCCACAATAGGGAATCCAAGTTTTACATTGAAATATATAGGAAAAATCTTTACAAATCTTCTTCTCAAGAACCACTGGGCCAGAAAAGCTGAAACTTATATGGAAGCATCCTGGGGTAGTGTAGATTCTAAATTGTTCAAATCATGACCCCCGGGGGTAGGGCGGGGCCATAATAGGGAGTCCAAGTTTTACATTGAAAAACATGAGAAAAATCTTTAAAAATCTTCTTCTCAAGAACCACTGGGCCAGAAAAGCTGAAACTTTTATGGAAGCATCCTGGGGTAGAGTAGAATCGAAATTGTTCAAATCATGACCCCCGAAGGTAGGGTGGGACACAATAGGGAATCCAAGTTTTACATTGAAATATATAACTTAAAGAAAAATCTTTAAAAATTTTCTTTTCAAGAACCACTGGACCTATAAAGCTGAGACAGTGTAGATTCTAAATTGTTCAAATTTTGACCCCCAGTGGTAGGGCAGGGCCACAATAGGTATATTAAAAGGGGGAAATCTGGTAAAGAACAGCATGGCCAAAGTTACTCAGGTGAGCGATGTGGCCCATGGGCCTCTTGTTGTGGTTACTCATAGCAAAATAAAAAAAAAAGGATGCTGTCATTCTTTCTGCAGTGAAACTTGTCTATAATCCAGATGTTGTGTGATCCAAAATCTTGCCTATTAGGGCAATAAGAACTTTTAGTTCCTTTGAGTGAATTCAAATGTTTAAAATGTCTAACCCAGAATGCTGTCTAATCAGCCTAATTTCTATGGTACCAGTGGTGTCCAGATTGGACAAGTTTTACTTATGTATAAAATTTGAGGTACCCATCTCTTATCTGCAACTGCTCATATATCTCTGAATAAAATTTATGAGACTTTCCCATGATCTTTGATACATAGTGTCATTGTGCACCTCCTATTTTGCACTTTGATTGGACAGATATTCAGGTTTTCCCTGGGCATGAGATTGCCATTCTTTCTGTAATATTAGGGGTACCCATCTTTTATCAGCAACTCTTCCTCTACCACTGAATAACATTTAATGAGACTTTCCCACAATCTCTTATTACATAGTTTCATTGTGCACCTCCTATTTAACATGTAATTTGATCAGATAGATATTTGGGCTTCTCCATAGCAAGGCATGGACTTCGCCAATATACTCATATGGGAGTGGGGGTATCATTTTGCAAGCTCGGTGCTCACAGTCCTCTAGTTTTGGTCCTATCTTTTGTCATTAATTATATTTTCGACTTAATACATGTGCTGAAGAGCAAGTGGAACAATTTCAACCTCAGAGTAACTTGCTCAAAGCATCCTTGGGTGGAAGAGATTCAAGTTGGTTTAAAAATGGAGAGCCACACCTCTCTTCAAGGGGAGATAATTATGAAATATGAAGAACAAGTTGGTGTCATTTAAAATCTCTCTCTCAAGAACATGCGAGAGCTTCCTTAATAATCATGGTCACAAGGGCTAGGTGCCCCAGGGCCACAAAAGGAGCTAGGTCATAATTTACATGGGAATATGTAGGAAAATCTCACACACAGCTGTATATTAACTTCAATTTGTCTTAAAATAACCAAGCATCCCAATAAAACTTTGTATGAAAATGTGCCAAAGAATTCATGTGACTGTGTGTGACTAGATACACAAATATGCTGGATTATAGTTGTGCTAATTATTCCATTTACATACTTCTGCTGAGTTTTGAATGGATACAAAAAAACAACGATCTGATGTTTATAATAGCTTTTATTATTAACAAGAATAAATACAAAAAAAAATTATTCATGAAAAAATATAAAAGAAAAAACTTCAGAAAATATAGCAATTTTAATTGCCTTTAACAAATAGTGGACATTTTTCCCCAAGTCCACTGTATAAAAGGGCCTGGACACAGTTGCATTGTTTAAAATTTAAATTTCTATTTTTATTCAAAAAATAACTTCAGTTTAATGATCTGAAATAACATGAATATTCTGAGAATTCAATGGCAACAACATTCTTCATACCTGATAATATTTTTCATTAATACACAACAAAATTTCTACTTTTCTTAAGGATAATGGATAAAGTTTACTTTGTGAAAGTGCAAGGCTTTGTGTCAATCAAACGATTCCCAAAATTCATGTACAGTTTTAATAAAATTCAGATGAAACAAGTTTCTAAACACGTGTTTATTACATTTCGGTGTAAAATTTTCTATCAACATATAAGTCATCATATTATATTGAAAGTTTTAGAACATATGAGCTTCAATTCTGTGTCTAAGCCCCTTTAAAGAGTATAGTCAAATGAGTATAATGGCTAACCCTAAAGCCCATTGTCCCAGAGGGCTGGCAAGTGAGTACTGCCTAAATCGTAAGTTCATTATCCAAGTGAGTATAGTGGTTGAATCTCAAGGCAATTATTCCATACAGTAGGCACATGAGTATACTGGCTGAGTCTACAGTCCATTGTCCTACAGGGTTGGCAAGTGAGTATATTAAATTGGCTAAGTTTAGCATCCATTATCCCATAGAGTTGCATGTGAGTATATTGGCTGAGTCTAGAGTCCATTGTCCCATAGAGTTGCATGTGAGTATATTGGCTGAGTCTAGAGTCCATTGTCCCATAGAGTTGCATGTGAGTACATTGGCTGAGTCTAGAGTCCATTGTTCATGAGAGTTGGCAAGTAAGCTAGTATATTCAGGAGAAACATCAAGTATGTAGGTGATATCTTTGAGTACAGGTGCCCTTACATGCTGAGTTCATCCAGAATAATGCGAGAAGCAATGGCAGCTGCAAATGCCAGAATCACTCCCAGGATTGCATTGTATGACACACTAATGTTAAATACCTACAGGAGAAATTAAATACACTGTACATGATCAAAAAGTCATTATATCAACATAAAAAAGCTTAATTAAGGAATATGGCATTATTAATATACAGTCAAACCTCATTATCTCTAACTCGATGGGACAGAGCAAAAACTTTGAGATATCCAAGGATTGGAGATATTGAGGGTAAAATACTTAAAGAATAAGTGGTACTTCCAAGTCACTTCAACATATCCATGGTATTCCAGATATCAGTGTTCGAGATTCGGATTTTCAACTGTAGTAATATATAATATATTGGTAATATTCTTGATCTGATAACACTAATTTATTGGATTATTTTAAAATCTGGATATTACCATCATTACAAACTTTAGGGTTTAATTCATCCCCACACTTACAAACCTACTTGTAGTTTGTTGGACCTAGAGCAGATTAAATCACGTAGAGTGTAACAATGGATATCTGAAACATTCACAGTAGTAATACATGTACCTGGTATATAAAGAACTCTGATAGACAACTCGAGTCAGATTGATTTCTGTGTTTTCTGTGATACATGTAGGTGTTCACACGAATTTTTTTTATGCTGAACTTTACTAATCTAAACTGATCAGTATTGTTAAATGTCAATGTAACAAAGAAATCTTTTAAACTTTCTCTCAACCCAGGAAATCAAACTGCAATTCATTTATTTGTATGATATGGCTTATCCTAAGATTTGGTTGTAAAGAGTTACTGCTATGCCCAATGTGCTCAGAAGCTGAGCAATTCCAAGTTATTGAAACTGTTAGCAAGTCATATTATTAAAGTGACACTGCTTGGCATATTACACTTGTACAGTAAAATTTAGTTATATATAAAGAAGTCAAAGGGACTTTGAATTTTGTCATCTTGTAACCAAGATTCTAATATCCAAATAATGTCTTCTACCAGATTCATAAAAGCTTCAATGATTTCTTTCTAAGCAAGTTTGTTATAACTGAGTTTTACTGTTACTAAGTTACAAATCTGCCATAGTCTGAAACTGTACTTTCAGCCATCAAATGGGAAGCAAGTCTTATCTTCAAAGAACTATCCCAACTATGGTTCCGTCCTTCCACATGTGTAAAGTTTAAATATTATGGACCAGACCAGCTTGTCATTTAAATGCCATGGTTCAGACCAGGATTTGAACCCTGGCCTCATGGACTCTATAAGTGGTGTGCCCACTGAGCTTTCTGTCCACAGAACAAGGGAACCTGCTTGATTGTCAAATCATGTAAACAGGTACATGCTCTTACCTTCATCTGCAGTGGTTGTTGTGCGAGGAAAGCCTGTGTCTTTAATCTGTCTTTTGTAGGATAAATACACTGCAAGAAATATATGCATTAGGGTTTTCTTTTTCATTCGATCTGTCCTAATGGGACATATACCTCCAGTAAGACAATCAAACATGCATGTACATGTATTTCAAATTCGGAAAAATTATGTTTAAACAAACTTGTTCCTCTACCTTTATTTACTTGAAAAAATAAAATATGTTTGAATATCATACTTGGATCATCCTTTCTCCCTCAAAATTTGCCTCTGCAAAGGCAGAAGTGGTGATAAAGAGAAGAGCCAGTGGAATCAGAAATTGTAAGATATCGAGGACAGTGGCGTGATGGCTGATCCAGTATATGATATAATCTCCACACCATATTATGACGTACGCGATCCAACTGGCCATCCATCTCTGTAGACAGGTGGAGGTCAGACGCATACGACTCTGGTAATAAGTAATATACATATTGAAAAAGGAAATTTAAAATAAGCAGGTTATCAATTTGATATATATTTTCAGTTCTTTTCAAGATTTTATGGTTACATTTGTAGTGAAGGATTTAGTTTGGACTGAGTGCTGATACTTACTGATAGCATCTAGTGCACAGTGCAGTAGTGAAGAATGTGGACTGGACTAATACTTACTGATAACCTCCAGTAGTTATGAAGAATCTGGTCTGGACTTAGCACTGATATTTATTGATAGTCTGTAGTAGTAGCAAAGAATCTGGTCTGGAGTGAGCACTGATACTAACTGATAACCTCCAGTAGTAGTAAAGAATCTGGTCTGGACTGAGCACTGATACTTACTGATAACCTCCAGTAGTAGTAAAGAATCTGGTCTGGACTGAGCACTGATACTTACTGATAACCTCCAGTAGTTGTAAAGAATCTGGTCTGGACTGAGCACTGATACTTACTGATAACCTCCAGTAGTAGTAAAGAATCTGGTCTGGACTGAGCACTGATACTTACTCATAACCCCCAGAAGTAGTGAAGAATCTGGTCTGGACTCAGCATTGATACTTACTCATAACCTCCAGTAGTAGTGAAGAATCTGGTCTCTCCAGCAGTAGTAAAGAATCTGGTCTGGGCTGAGCACTGATACTTACTCATAACCTCCAGTAGTTGTAAAGAATCTGGTCTCTCCAGCAGTAGTAAAGAATCCGGTCTGGACTGAGCACTGATACTTACTGATAGCCTCCAGTGGTAGTGTCAATAATCTGGTCTGAGCACTGATACTTACTGATAATCTTCAGTAGTAGTGGACTGAGCACTGATACTTACTGATAGCCTCCAGCAGTAGTGAAGAATCTGGTCTGGAGTGAGTACTGATACTTACTGATAACCTCCAGTAGTAGTGAAGAATCTTGTCTGGAGTGAGTACTGATACTTACTGATAGTCTCCAGTAGTACTGAAGAATCTGGTCCGGACTGAGCACTGATACTTACTGATAGCCTCCAGTAGTAGTAAAGAATCTGGTCTGGACTGAGCACTGATACTTACTGATAACCTTCAGTAGTAGTGAAGAATCTGGTCTAGACTGAGCACTGATACTTACTGATAGCCTCCTGTAGTACTGAAGAATCTGGTCTGGACTGAGCATTAATATTTACTGATAACTTTCAGTAGTAGTGGACTGAGCACTGATACTTACTTATAATCTCCAGTAGTAGTGAAGAATCTAGTCTGGACTCAGCACTGATACTTACTCATAACCTCCAGTAGTAGTGAAGAATCTGGTCTGGACTGAGCACTGATACTTACTGATAACCTTCAGTAGTAGTGGATGGAGCACTGATACTTACTGATAGCCTCCAGTAGTAGTGAAGAATCGGGTCTGGACTGAGCACTGACACTTACTGATAACCTTCAGTAGTAGTGGACGGAGCACTGATACTTACTGATAGCCTCCAGTAGTAGTGAAGAATCTGGTCTGGACTGAGCACTGATACTTACTGATAACCTCCAGTAGTAGTGAAGAATCTGGTCTGGACTGAGCACTGACACTTACTGATAATCTTCAGTAGTAGTGAACGGAGCACTGATACTTACTGATAACCTCGAGTAGTAGTGAAGAATCTGGTCTGGAGTGAGTACTGATACTTACTGATAACCTCCAGTAGTAGTGAAGAATCTTGTCTGGAGTGATTACTGATACTTACTGATAATCTCCAGTAGTAGTGAAGAATCTGGTCTAAGCACTGATACTTACTGATAACCTCCAGTAGTAGTGAAGAATCTGGTCTGGACTGAGCACTGATACTTACTGATAACCTCCAGTAATATTGAAGAATCTGGTCTGGACTGAGTACTGATACTTACTGATAACCTCCAGTAGTAGTGAAGAATCTGGTCAGGAGTGAGTACTGACTTTAAGGTGAATTTAGAGGGTATGTCTTCACCTTCCTCGAATACTTCCTGTAAGATGGAAGAAAAATAAAATTGTGGAATATTGAATTTTTATGTTTTAAACAATTATCATTTCATAGAAATTGTCAAAAAATACAAGCCAAACACAGGCCCTTTTTTCTATATAGTTAATAGTGAAAACTGTCTAATCTGGCACCTGTGAATTCCCTTTGAATTCCAATATTTATTTTTATTCCCATTTTTCCATTTTCTTCACACTGTATAATACAACACCCTGTCTATTCCAACACAAAGTATGTCTGCCAGAGCATATCTGATTAGACAGGTTTCACTGTACCCTGTTTGCTTATACTATGTACAAATATCATAAATAAATGCTAACAATTTGTACTTAATTTAAGCCCACCCATTACTGATAAGAGGTTTCAAAAGGTTGTCATAGCCGAGGGGTGGCAATGGGGATAAGCTCTCATTGTTTATAAAATGCTCCTTATGGCATGCGCTTCAAATAGCCTCTGACAACCAAGTCCAGCTCCTAGCCTGCTCATGTGGCTTTCATCAAGTCCAGAGGAACTGCTACTACTGATAGGAGAAGGGGTGAAGGCAAGACACCTGGTGCCTGAAAACCAGTGCTTTGGGTAGATGGGCTCATCAGTCTGGGAAGATAGCTCATCTAAGAGAAGGAAAACTCTAATTCCAAACCTCCACTGCCTTGCAGCCATACCCACTTATGGGAAAGACTAGGTGAAGGAAACACTGGTATAAAACCGAATGGGAAGACTGTGCTCAATATCCAGGAAGGAAAGCAGTCTAGGAAGGAAACTCCAAAATAAAACCACCTTTCCTCGAGGTTACTAGAGGTTTGCGTAGGGCCAACAACCCTGCCTATAAAAAAAGCTAGTTACAGAAGCATCAACGACAAACCAAAACCAACATAACCTGGGCCAGATTGGGCCTACTTCAAGGGGAACTATGATGCTGTGCAATGAAAGCCAAAAGGAAGCTGCAGAGCTGACTCCCTTTCTGACACCCAGGAAAACCACCAGATTTGCTACCTGGAACATCAGAACAATGTATGGAGCAGGAAGAACAGCACAGGTAGCAAAGGAGATGAAGCACTACAACATTTGTCTCCTAGGACTGAGTGAGACGAGGTGGCTATAGACAGGACAGCTGAGGCTGACCACCGGGGAAACACTGTTTACTCAGGACACACCATGGAGGAAGCCCACCACACCAAAAGTGTAGGCCTGATGCTATCCCTGGAGGCACAACGTGCTCTTATCGGATGGGAACCTGTCAACTCCAGGATAATAACAGCCAAGTTCAACACCAAGAAAGTCAAGATCAAATTGAACATCTTCCAATGTTATGCCCCCACAAATGACGCTGATGAAGAAAAGAAAGATGCCTTTTACCATCAACTACAGGCAGTCTTGGATAAAACAGGGAAGAAAGACATGACAATACTCATGGGCGACTTCAATGCCAAGACTGGAGCTGACAACACTGGCTACAATGAAGTCATGGGCACACAAGGACTGGGCTACATAAATAAGAATGGCAAGAGATTTGCAGATCTATCTCCCTTAACCAGCTAGTAATAGGAGGAAGCATCTTCCCTCATAAACGGATTCACAAGGCAACATTGAGAACCCCTGACCATGTTACGGAGAACCAGATTGATCATATTTCGTCAACAAGGAATTTTGAAGAGCATGTAAAGATGTCAGGGTGATGCGAGGAGCAGACATTTCATCAGACCACCATTTGCTGATGACGGCATTAAGACTATGCCTCAAGAAGTTCAACAATGTGACAAACATGAGGACAAGGTACAACATGAGTGTCCTCAAAACAAAGGAAGTGAAGACAGCTTTCCACCTCAGCTTGTCCAACAGATTCCAGCTACTAAAAGAACAGCTAGAAAACAATGATACCAACATAGAGACCCAATGGCAGCACATCAAGGAAATGTGGCTAGACACATATGAGGAAGTCCTCGGCAGAAGAAAGGCTCAACACAAGGAGTGGATCTCTGTTGATACCATGAGGAAATTGGATGTGAGGAAGGAAAAGAAAGTGGCACTGAATACAAGCCGGACAAGATCAGCAAGGACAAAAGCTCAAGAGGACTACACAGCCACAGATAAAGAAGTTAAGGAAAGCATCAGGAAAGATAAACAGGATCACATGGACAACCTGGCCAAAGAAGCTGAAGAAGCAGTGGGACAAGGAAACTTGAGAGAACTGTATATGGTCACAAAGAAACTCTCCAACAAGTTCCAGAAGACAGACAAGCCAGTGAAGGACAAGAATGGGAAACCTCTCACAACAACAGATGAACAATTGAAGAGGTGGGTAGAACACTTTGGAGAGCTATTAAATAGACCAACACTAGAAACACCTCCAGACATACAACCAGCCGATACAGACCTCCAGATCAACTGCGACAAGCCAACATAGACAGATCAGGAGAGCAATCACCAAACTTAAAAATGGAAAAGTGGCAGGGCCTGATGAGATACCAGCAGAAGCCATCAAAGCTGATACGGAGATAGCTGTTGACATCCTATACAACCTCTTCAAGAAGATCTGGGAGGAAGAGAACATTCCCAAGGAATGGAAAGAAGGCATCCTTATTAAGCTGCCAAATAAGGGAGATCTGAGAGACTGCAGTAATTACTGGGGAATTATGCTCTTGTCAGTGCCTGGCAAAATCCTCAACAGGATCCTTCTCGAGAGGATGAAAGAGGCAGTGGACCCAAAGCTCCGTGACCAGTAGGCTGGTTATAGAGCCAACAGATCATGTGCTGACCAGATGGCCAGTCTGCGCATCATCATTGAAAAATCACTTGAGTGGAAATCCCCCCTTTATATCAACTTCATTGACTATGAGAAAGCATTCGACAGCTTGGACCGAGAGACACTGTGGAAGATACTGAGGAACTAAGGAGTAACAAAGAAGCTTGTCTCCCTGATTCGAAACACCTACCAAGGCATGATATGCAGGGTTGCCCTCGCTGGCCAGATGTCCGAGAGTTTCAAGGTCAAGACAAGAGTTCAACAGGGATATTTGCTGTTACTATTTCTCTTTCTCTTGGACATTGACTGGATCATGAGGACTACCACATCAGGCAGGAACAATGGTATACAGTGGACACTCCTGATGCAACTTGACGATATAGACTTTGCCGATGACCTGGCTCTCCTTTCACACAACCACAGTCAGATGCAGGATGAAACAACTCGCCTTGCAACAACATCAGCAGGAACGGGACTCAAGATCAACTTGAAGAAAACAGAATTGATGAAGATAAACAACACTGCCCAAACACCAGTCACAGTTGGTGATGAGCCCATCAGAGAAGTTGAGTCCTTCATCTACCTGGGGAGTGTGGTGGACAGACAGGGTGCCACAGATCGTGACATCAAGTCAAGAATTGGCAAGGCAAGAACTGCATTTACCATGCTAAAGAACATCTGGGCCTCGAAGAACATCTGCATTACGACAAAACTGCGAATCCTCAACTCAAATGTAAAGTCTGTCCTATTGTACGGTGCAGAGACGTGGAGGTTGACCAAAGCAACCTTGCAGAAGATCCAGACATTCTACAACACCTGTCTCAGTCGCATCTTCAACATCTGATGGCCTGAAAGGATCACAAATGAAGAACTATGGAATAGAGCAGGGCAGGAACCAATGGATGTACAAATCAGACAGAGGAAAAGGGGCTGGATTGGACACACGCTAAGGAAGTCACCATCCAGCATCACATGCCAGGCCTTGACTTGGAACCCACAGGGCAAAAGAAAGAGGGAATGTCCAAGAATCACCTGGAGGCGTGACTCGGTGTCAGAACTAAAGGCACAGGACATGACCTGGCAGGATGCAGTGAAAGCAGCCTAGAATCAAGTTTGTTGGAGGACTGCCGTTCATGGCCTATGTTCCTCACAGAACAAGAGGCCTAAGTAAGTAAGTGATTACTGATAAGAAATTAAAAAACTTGATAATTCTCCTACTGTAACTATACTTATAGCATTTTTTTGGTGGTGGTGGAGGAGGGTAATTAACAGCTTAAGTGCTTGTGTCATTGGCACAGAAATAAATTGAAATAAAGGATGAATTCCTATGATGAATCAGACACACAACATGGACTGGAAATAAGTAAAACTTTGGCATGATTAATAAGTATAAGAATTTAACAGTAGGTCCATGAGCAAAAACCCAAACATGAAATATGAAATGCAAATTCATGAAACTCCTTATTTTGGCCATCAACTTAAAAGTCAATATCAATAAATTATACTATATTGAGGCTTGACATTGATTCAGATTTTGGCCTTGTTGTTCTAGAAAGCTCTTGTACTATTTTTGTAAAACATTGATCCTCTTTTGTGACCCTACTCTTATCTCAAGGCCATAAAATATGAAAATATAAATGTACACAATGAGAAGATCCTTCCTTATTTATTTAAAATCTTACCAATTATTGACCTGCTCTATTGAGGTTTTTAAAGATTTTTTTAACCAATACATGTACATGTACCACTACTGACTAGTATATTTCTATTAAAACTTTGATCCCCGTTTTTAGCCCTACACTACCTCAAGAAAACACCATCTTGAAATTCAAAACTTGTAGTGACTGTTTTGGCCCCCACTGTCTTCATGCACAAGAAGAATATTTCAAAAGATTTATCCCATATATTCAAATTTATAACTTTGTGGTTGACTATGGCCCAGGAGACCGTGTTTGGGAAAAAGTTTTTTAAAGACTTTTTTCCTATTTATATCTATCAGTATTTTAAATTTTGACTTTAACCCCCTCTCCACTGTGGCCCCATCTCAGCCAAGGGGACCATAATTTGAATGTATAGAAATGAGGAAACTTTTATTCTTTTCTTCTGGCCACAAAAATGACCCCTCACTTTTCCAAAAAATTATTTCTTTATAATTATTTCTCTTAGATTGGGGGCTTAAATTAGCTCTTCTTTAAAAGAAATTTGAATTTCTTTTACCCAAGAATGCATTATGGCAATTTTCTGATGTGAATCAGCCAAATGGCTCTTCAAAAAATGAAATGTGAAAAAAAAAGACAAAGGACAATTTGTAGATGGACAGACAGGTAGATTTTGTGTGCTCTCTGGCCAGAGCAGTAAATGTGAAACTCTGGATCAATTGAGTTAAGACAGTACATGTACATCTACATATAGCACTCTCCAAGTTTGTCTACATATGGCACTCTCTATCTAGATATGGCACTTTCTTAGTATGTCTATATAACCTATATTATTTGTACACTGATGAAAAAAACCAAAAGGTACTGTGAGTGAGCTCACAAATTATACCCCCACTGCATTTTTTATAGTGTCCATATACAATGTTCCAATTATGATCTTAACCTTGCCAAAATTACCTTGGTTAAAAACATGACACAGCCTATGGTCATAAGTAATCTTTAAGTGAGTTATGGACCTCCAGTGTTTTCTCCATCAGAAAATTATGGACCTGACATGAATTTTACACTTTTTCCCAGTGACTTTGAACTTGCCACTATGACCTTTGGGTCAAATTTATGACATACCTTCAGCTCACAGGTAATCTTTGAAGTTTCAACCTCCAATACTTATCTATTAGAGAATAATTAACTGGACACTTATTTTGTACTTTTTCTGCCAGTGACATTGAACTTGCTGGTATAACTTTGGTTCAAGGTCATAGCACACTTTCAGGAAATAAGTGATAATTTTGTGACAATGAACTTCCATTGTTTTTCCATTAGAAAGTTATAGGCTAAATACAGATTGACAATTTTCCACCAGTGACCCTGAACTTGCAAAAATGACCTTAGGTCAGATCATGACACTCCCTAAAAAGTTATAAGCATTCTTTATGTCACATATCAATTTCCAATAAGACTCCATTTGAGAGTTATAGACCAGAATAATACTTTTTTTTTGCCAGTGACCTTGAACTTGCTCAAATGACCTTGGGTCAAGGTCAAAACATATCTTCAGATCACAGGTAATATTTGTGATAAGTATTAGTCTCTAATGTTCTCCATTGCAAGATATGTCAGGACAGGAATTACATGTTTTCTACATGTGACCTTAAACTTGATCTAGTGACCTTGAGAAAAAGTCATGACACACCTTCAGGTCATAAGCAATTTTTGTTTGAGGTATGAACTTCCAATGTATCTCCATTAGGAAGTTATAAACCGGAAACAAATTTGTTATGCCTGTGACCTTAAACTTGCCAGAATGACCTTGGTCAAGGTCATGACGTGCCCTAAGGTCAAAAAGAAACTTTATACTAAGTACACAGTTCCACTGTCTCCATAACAAAGTTTAGCCCAGACATGAACAATACACTTTTCTGGCCAAAGACCTTGTGTGAGGTATGAACTTTCAATGTTTCTCCATTAGGAAGTTATAGACCAGAAACAAATTTTATACTTTTTCTGCCAGTGACTTTGAATTTGCTGGAATAAACTTGGATCAAGGTCATGGCACATCCTCAGGTCATAAACAATCTTTGTACCAAGTATGAGCTTCCAATGATTCTCCATAACAAAGTTATTGCCAGGATAAGATTGCACAGACAGACAAAAGGACAAGGTGATTCCTGTTAACCCCCCAGAAGAATTTTTTTTTTGGGGGGGGGGGGGTTTATAAAAAAGGCATGTTATAACCATGATGCATTTGCTATGAGAATTCTTGTTTAGTCATACTACAAGAAATATTGATCAGTAAGTCTTTAGTTCAAACTTTCTTCATTACCTTGTCCTCATCAATGTCATTTATTGATGCAGAGATCTCCACTGTGCTGGTGGACTGGCTAGCTATGATGTCCTCTGAGCTCGGTTTTCCTTCTAATGTCTGGGCTCGACTGTCTTTTGTTGATATGTTGTCATCCCAAATAAAAAAATCAGCTCCTTCCTCTGAAAAAAAATTACCCCCAATTTTTTTTTTTATTCATGTATGGTACTTTTTAAAAAACTTTCAAATAATAGCGTATAGTACATGTGTATGTACAATAAGCAAACACTTTGCGTTTTTATATATCATATCTTTCATAGATAATCATTATATTGTTTACTTTGTAATGTTTTAGCTAATACAACGGTTGATTGCAGGAAGGTTTGCACACATTCAAATTTAATGTTTTGTTCCTGTACAATCATATTAACCACCGTCATCAAAGTTTGAATATTTGAAACATTTATTATAGGAAGCTAAGACATTGACGGACTATCAGCAATCTGTTCAGGAATATCTTTTTTTAATTAAATCAGACATTTGATTAACATTCCTGTTACGTTTTTAGACAAGATATTATGTTAGTTAACATTTAAAAGGAATGTGAAAATAAGACAAGAAAGACCTAGCTCATTTCAGATCAATGATGCAAACAAACTCTTCTCTCTAATATGTCTGATTCATAGCAACCAGAAAATATTAGGCATTCCTTGATAGAAAACATTAATCTAATTTGTTTTCATGCACAGATAAAACATTTGTTAGAGATTCAATCACATATCATGTCATTTAAAAATAATTACATGGTTGTATATACGGATAACTTACAAATACTCTCAGATGATTCTTAAAATATTATTTAATACTGAAAAGTATAAATGGTGTATACCATGAAGTTTAGTACTGATAAATAGCAGAAATAAACAGTTACATACTGTGCTATGATAATATGGTTGTCTTTAAGAACTATGTATTCATGAGACATTATTTTGGCTATAAATAAAAAGAATCCCTGAAAAAAAAAAATTAGACATGCATTTGAGTATAGGTACAATTGAACTTTGGTATCTTGAATGCTGATATCTTGAATACCATGGATATGTCAATTGGAAGTGATTTGAAAGTCCCAACCACTAATTCTAAGTATTTTACCCTTGATATCTCAAATCCTTGGATATCTCAAAAGTTTTGAGATGATGATCGAGGTTTGACTGTATTATCTTTACCATCTATGATTTTACCTCTGAATCATGGGAAAATGTTTTAGGCAACTCATATCTTCTATTTTATATGTATGTTATTTTTAAGCTATAGTTTGCAGTGCCGTAGATTTACATATTACTTCAATATAGGTGTCACCAGGTTAACTGGTGTATGAATATCAGTCAATATATCGGGTCTTTTAAATAGCTTAGTGGTTAGAATGCTGGCAAGGTACGTATGCCAGAGGCCCTGGGTTCAAGTCTCGGTTGAGAAATTTGGTATCATCTCGTTATTACAGAACACAATCTGATCATATTAAATGACAACCATGACATCTCAAAAACAGACACTGTATATGATCATACACCTGTGTTGGATAATTGTTAAATACCTGATGCCATGTGACTAAGATGGCACATGTGTATAGGCTCCTGTTTCTGGAATTTTTGCATGTAATGTCTTGCATCTTCCTCTAGAAGCAGCATAAACTTCCTAAGACCTAAAAATAACAAAATATTCAAACATCAAAGGTTTCTCAGTTTGAAATTGACACATAAAATAATATTTAATGTATATTTAAGGCTTTAATTGTTGTCTGACAAATATTTAAATGTACAATGATATGTATAATTATACCACTGCATTTCGTTTCTGGCATTATGCTCAGCACTTCTGGAATTTTATATTTTCATTTTCCACCATGTAATGTATTACATGTCAAGCATTTTTCATAAAGTAATTTTCTGGCAATTTTAATGTTTTTTTTATCTCCCTAGTAACCAAACCATCTTTATCTGTTGTTAACAATTTGTAGCCCAATAATCCCTACACTACATACATATGTGATACCTCTGTTCTTTAGCATTTTTCTGTCTTTAAAAAATTCCCTCACTGATGATTTGAAATGAGCTTTGTGTGTTTCAAAAACTGAACATATTAATTGATTTCAGAAGAGATGAGTGAAAGTTCACTGACACATTTGTATCCCTGTGTAAATCTACATTACAAGTACATGTAGGTTTTTTTATGGCCAAGCAAAGCTTATTATTTGGATATAAATGATTACATTTTTTTCAAAAGAAAGTCTCAATTTTATTGCCGTAAAAGTACAGTAAACTATTTAATAAATGCCAGACATGAAAAGTATTAAATGCCGGAAAACAAATAGATTTAAAAAACAAGAGGCCCATGGGCCACATCGCTCACCTGAGTAACTTTGGCCATGCTGTTCTTTACCAGATTTCCCCCCTTTTAATATACCAATTTGGCCCCGCCCTACCCCCGGGGTCAAAATTTGAACAATTTGGAATCTATACTACCTCAGGATTCTTCCAAATATGTCTCAGCTTTATTGGTCCAGTGGTTCTTGAAAAGAAGATTTTTAGAGATTTTTCTTTAAGTTATATATTTCAATGTAAAACTTGGATTCCCTATTGTGTCCTGCCCTACCCCTGGGGGTCAAGATTTGAACAATTTATAATCTACACTACCCCAGGATGCTTCCATATAAGTTTCAGCTTTTCTGGCCCAGTGGTTCTTGAGAAGAAGATTTGTAAAGATTTTTCTTATGTATTTCAATGTAAAACTTTGATTCTCTATTGCGGCCCTGCCCTACCCCCGGGGGTCATGATTTGAACAGTTTATAATCTACACTACCCCAGGATGCTTCCATATAAGTTTCAGCTTTTCTGGCCCAGTGGTTCTTGAGAAGAAGATTTTTTAAGATTTTTCCTATATATTTCAATGTAAAACTTGGTTTCCCTATTGTGGCCCCACCCTATCCCCAGGGGTCATGATTTGAACAATTTAGAATCTACACTACCCCAGGATGCTTCCATATAAGTTTCAGCTTTTCTGGCCCAGTGGTTCTTGAGAAGAAGATTTTTAAAGATTTTTCCTATATATTTCAATGTAAAACTTGGATTCCCTATTGTGGCCCCGCCCTACCCCTGGGGGTCATGATGTGAACAATTTAGAATCTACACTACCCCAGGATGCTTCCATATAAGTTTCAGTATTTCTGGCCCAGTGGTTCTTGAGAAGAAGATTTTTAAAGATTTTTCCCATATATTTCAATGTAAAACTTGGGCTTCCCTATTGTGGCCCCGCCCTACCCCCGGGGGTCATGATGTGAACAATTTAGAATCTACACTACCCCAGGATGCTTCTACATAAGTTTCAGCTTTTCTGGCCCAGTGGTTCTTGAGAAGAAGATTTTTAAAGATTTTTCTAATGTATTTCAATGTAAAACTTGGATTCCCTATTGTGGCCCCGCCCTACCCCCGGGGTTCATGATTTGAACAATTTATAATCTACACTACCCCAGGATGCTTCCATATAAGTTTCAGCTTTTCTGGCCCAGTGGTTCTTGAGAAGAAGATTTTTAAAGATTTTTCTAATGTATTTCAATGTAAAACTTGGATTCCCTATTGTGGCCCCGCCCTACCCCCGGGGTTCATGATTTGAACAATTTATAATCTATACTACCTCAGGATTCTTCCAAATATGTCTCAGCTTTATTGGTCCAGTGGTTCTTGAAAAGAAGATTTTTAGAGATTTTTCTTTAAGTTATATATTTCAATGTAAAACTTGGATTCCCTATTGTGGCCCCGCCCTACCCCCGGGGGTCATGATTTGAACAACACTTTAGAATTTAGAATTTAGAATCTACACTATCCCAGGATGCTTCCACATAAGTTTCAGCTTTTCTGGCCCAGTGGTTCTTGAGAAGAAGATTTTTTAATGACCCCACCCTATTTTTGTCTTTTCTTGATTATCTCCCCTTGTAAGGGGACTTGGCCCTTTATTTTAACAATTTACACTCCCCTTCACCCAAGGATACTTTGTACCAAGTTTGGTTAAAATTGGCCCAGTGGTTCTTGAGAAGAAGTTGAAAATGTGAAAAGTTTACAGACGGACGGACAGACGGACAGACGGACGGACAGACGGACGACGGACAACGGGTGATCAGAAAAGCTCACTTGAGCTTTCAGCTCAGGTGAGCTAAAAAATGCTGGAAATAAAATGCTGCCTGAATATAACTGTAATCATTTGTGGAACAATTTCTTGTAATAAAGTGATTTTTTTTGTTTAATGTTTTGTGTTTATTATTAAAGCTGAATTTACCCATTGTATGAGTTCTGCATACAGACAACAAGACACAACACACCAAAAGGTTCCAGATCAGAGACATAGAACTGAAGGCCACATGGGAGCCGTACATGATGTGGCATATTGAAATATGTAGAAAGATCTTGTCGCAGTTGTTAGGTCCAAACACACTGTAGTCTGAGTAGCAATTCAACACCACCATTGCCACACTGAGAAAAGTAACTAGTCCAATAGCACTAACCTTGAAAAATGTACGAGAATGAATACGTACACTTTCAGAGAAATTGCGATTGGAAAAAAGTCTTCCTGCAAGTCTGTTAGAGTATAGGCCAAGGCAAATCCATCCAAAGCCCAGCATGATGTTAGAACACCCAATGGTTAAAGTAGTCTGAGAATAGCTGCTTCTGATGTCATAGACAGTATGAACCATTCCACTCACTGAAAACACAGTGGCAAGGAATAAAGTAACGGCGTGTAGGAACACTGATAAACAAGGCACCCTTCTCCTACCTCTAAGTTTGATTCCGAGAATCTGAACAAGAGCTTTCCAAACCCAGTCTGGAAGTTTGCGAGAATTTGGAACTTTCTTTTCTTCTGTTGAGTTTAGATTTCTAGCAAATCCTACTTGCTGAGAACTGCCCATTCTCTCATAATTGGTAGGCATTATTTGGCAACTGTTAAAAAAAAAAAGTATACATATGAAACACTAATCACGATGGAAAGTTGTTTTGGAAATCCTTATATAGCAAATTCTGTGCAAAATATGGAAACATTAAATTTAAACCCATGGAAAAATGAACTGCCTATATAGGCAGTTATTAAGCAGTACTTAAAACAGTTTTATGAATTTCAAGCAGTTTTCAAGCAGTTTCAGGCAGTTTGATTTTTACTGTTGTTTCATAACTGCTAATGCCTGGGGAGTAAACAGTTTTCATAAGCAGTTTTCTAAGCAGTAAGCAGTTTCCTTAGCAGTATGTTTAAGCTTTACCCCTACTGGGGGAAAGAACAGTTTTGTTAGCAGTATGTAAGCAGTTTCCTTAGCAGTAAATATTCAATTTGATTGGGATCAAGATAAATTCCAATGTTGGGCCCAATGATAAACAAATATACATAACAGGAACCAAACAACTGACTGCCAAAATTGAATTTTGGCTGCCATGTTGTGTAGTTGGACAAAAGGAAATAGAGTCATGAAAAGGGGGTTGGCCACAAAGTTTTCATTAAAATTATGATGCAGATATATAATATCTGGTATGTACACTATATTTTATAAGTGTTGTTAAATAATTTAAGAGAGATAATTAACAATTATTGTACTGCTTGAATCATCCCAATTTCAATATGGTATGTCTCATATTATATTTCCAGTGCACCTTTTAAGAATCACCGACTCAATTCCATTTAACTACAATAAGCTGAAAATCTTTTTTATTTAACCACAACTAAGGTTTTAGAAAAAAATGTACTTTTTTTTATCTATATTGATATTGAAATTGTTGATGTAGTTTACAAGCTAGTACATGGATTAATTAATTTTCATAATGTGGATTGTTTTAACATTTGTAGTATTATGAGTTATATAAATTGTGTGTTTAAAATTGACCCAATTAATGGATTTTCTGTTGAAAATTACAGTTTTCAGGAAATATGTGCATGTTCTCAAAATGAAACTGCTTCACAGCTAGTTAATTATCAGTACATATTAAGCAGTTGTCTAACAGTTAACTAAGCAATACAAAAATAGTAGCTTTACAGTTTAATAAGCAGTACCTAAACAGTTATATCTAAGGGAGCAACCAGTCCTGAAAGGTCTTACCAAAATAACTGCTTATGAACTGCTAACGAACTGCGCAAAACTGCCTAACAACTGTTAAGGCTTAGAAAACTGCCTATTTTATTCAAAGGTTTATTGTGGGCCCAACATGCCATAAGCAGTGCACTGAGAAGGTTTAGAAACTGCTTATAAACTGCTAAGATGGTACAACCGTTAAGGTTAAGAAACTGCTAAATAACTGCCTTCCACTTTGCCATGGGATTTGGACAACTAGTTTCACAGACAATCACAATAATATATTAGTCTGAAGTATCTGACATTTTCCAGGCTTTTTTCATGATTTTGGTATTTTATGTTGCCAGGAAAACGTCAGAACTGGCGCCATTACGAAAACTGGAAATTCGCCGCCTCCAACTGGAGGCAGCATTCTCGGGTTGATTTTCGATACTTGTGAACCGAATTAAATGCTGAATTCACAACTTATTAATAGTACAATACCTTTAGTACTCACCACCATAGTTTTTATGGGTTATGTTTATGAAATATACAGTCTGGTGAAAACATTTTATCAGACGGTGGTGTTTTCTTTTCATTTCGTGCATTTTAAAATCTTGCAAAACCTGTATCGAAATGTGGAGTGATATTTTCTTTTCATCGATATTGGTCGTTACTAGAAGCATTGTGCTAAATTGTAAGATCAGCATTTAATTCAGTTCGCAAGTATCAAAAATCAGCTCCAGTTTGAAACAGTGAAATTTCCAGTTTTTGTAATGGTGCCGGTTCTGACATTTTCCTGGCACGTAAAATATCAAAATCGTGAATAAAGCCTGGAAAACGTCAGATATTTCGGACTAAGTAATATATATGAAATATCAATTAACTCTTTAATCAGATGTTAGCTGTAGACACAATAGCAACATCAAACTGTTAAACACACACACATTTCTTATTTTCACTGGATGACATACAGTATAGTTTTTTTGTATACTGTTTAAAATATACCGAAATTTATTTCTGATTGCTAAATACCTTTTCAGTAATATTGTATTTGGGGGAGGGGCATTCAGAGAAAATTCGAACTACGTCATTCTTTCCTTTCAATTTTAAATATGTGTAGATTTTTCTTACTTTGTTACCAGACAGTATATTTAACCAGCACCAATACCTAGTTTTGTGGACTTCTTTAAGAATCATTCAATCTTTAAGAAGATAAAAAAAATTTATATCTATCAAACATTTTTTTGGCTTACGATCTCGAGATTCAAAATCAGCTGTAGAATCTCTGTATGTCAAGCCCGAAGTTAAGTCTATAAATAGAGCACAAATATGGGAGCAAGAACTGCACTAGGAGTAGGAAATTTCCTTAGGAAGTTTGCTAACGTTAGGTAAGTATTTATAGATAACTGTGCAGAGCTCTTATTTACTACTGTGCACTTGCATCATGGAAATAAATCTCAATTGACAAAGTTTATATATTGACACAGTTTGCAGGTTTGAGTCAAACCTGCAAACTGTGTCAATATATAGCACACATGTACATGTACGTTTCAGTCTTATGCAAGAAATCTTGGGAAAAAAGAAAAGATACTGAAAATTTTCATAGGGAAATAATTGTTTGCTTGTCAACCATAACATTACATGCTGCTTGTATAGGCAAGGGGCTCCAGAGACCCATGGGCCACAACACTCACCTAAGACAGCCCTGCTATTACTGAGAAGAAAAATCTTTTGATCCCATAATCATGCTACCCCTTGAGCCATGATTTTAACAAAGTTAAATCTACATCTTAGCTATCCACTTATTTCAATGACCAAAGAAAAATGAATAAATTTATGTTGATTTATAATAAAATCAACATAAATATAGATCTAGTAATTAATTAAAAGAAAACAATAAAAAGATATCTGCAAAATGATTTTTAGCTCACCTGAGCTGAAAGCTCAAGTGAGCTTTTCTGATCACCTGTTGTCCGTCGTCCGTCCATCTATCTGTCGGTCCGTCCGTCTGTAAACTTTTCACATTTTCAACTTCTTCTCAAGAACCACTGGGCCAATTTTAACCAAACTTGGTACAAAGCATCCTTGTGTAAAGGGGAGTTTAAATTGTTAAAATGAAGGGCCAAGCCCCCTTCCAAGGGGAGATAATCAAGAAAAGATAAAAATAGGGTGGGGTCATTAAAAAATCTTCTTCTCAATAACCACTGGGCCAGAAAAGCTGAAACTTATGTGGAAGCATCCTGAGGTATAGTAGATTCTAAATTGTTCAAATCGTGACCCCCGGGAGTAGGACTGGGCCACAATAGGTACTACAAGGGGGATAATCAGGTGAAACACAGCAAGGCCAGTTACTCAGGTGAGCATTGTGGCCCATGGGCCTCTTGTTTATATTGGCAACAGCTTGAACTATTAATATATGAATTAAATGAATGATTTCAAAATTTCTTCCATTTCAGATTAGGCAATACTCATTGTGTCATTAGTGTCCAAGGAAAAAGTAAGTGTATTTTAAAATTACTTTTCATTACTATAAAGAACAGTTTTCAATTTTTATGTATCAGCATGTTTAATCACTTTAAAAAGTTTAACAGTTGCTTAATTTGTATATGAATTTACAATTTATTTTTAAGAAATCACTTTTTGCAATTCTTGAATTCTAGCAATGCTATGTTTTACAAATCAAAGACTTATCATAGATATATAATTATTTTTTAATTCTTTATAAGTACATCCAGACGAAGGAACAGACTACTCAAACTACGTATATAGATTTTTGTGTGCATAATTTTACAATAATTAAATTGTACATGTACTTTAGTTATGGGATCCTCTAAATAAGAGTTTATTGTTGACTATTCCAGATATAAAGTCTTATTTTAAAGTGAATTGTCAATTTTGTAGTTGATTGATTATGTGTTGTTTTACGTCCCGTTCAAGAGTTTTTCACTTTAATATATAGAGACATCACTATATACATTTGTACCAGTGAAGGGCTTCAAATTTAGACCTTTACTTGGCACTCAGGGCCATTGAGCAGTGAGGGTTCTTTATCGTGCCAACACCTACCGTGACACGGGGCCTCAGTTTTTAAGGTCTCATCTGAAAGACCGGCAACTTTCACTCCAAAGTGCCGAGTGCTTGGTGAAGGAACAGTTGCTACCTATTTTTTATCGACCTCGGTCAGTCGCAGCTGTGATTCGAACACACGACCTTCCAATCACGGAGCGAGCACTCTACCGACTGAGCTACCATAATGGTTAATTTAGTAGTTGAAGTGGGGGCTTTCAGACACAGACACATTATTTTGTCTTGAGATATCAGGATTGATCTGTGAAAATGTATGGATAGAATTGAATAAAAAATCACAGGCACTTGTTTCTGTAATAATTTTTTTTAACCAATAGTACAATAATAATGTTATTACATGTTATTATACTATGGGTTAAAAAAATTATTTCAAGAACAACTGCCTGTGCAAACAATGATTAAGTATCAGTTAAGTAAACTGCTCATTTGCATGACTAAGTTTTCATTTGTTGTTTGTTGTTTTAACATCCGCGAGAATTTTTCTCTCATATGGAGACTCCACGACTTGCCGGTGGAGGGCTGCAAATTTAGACCTATACTTGGCACTCAGGGCCATTGAGCAGTGAGGGATCTTTTTTGTGCCTCTCTTTATACAGTCTTATCCAAAGGACCAGTCTCCACGTCCCGCTGTGGGATTCAAACCCACAACGTAATGAACAACTCCTTACTTCGGGACTCTAGAGCAAATGCTCTAACCACTGCACCATGCAGGCGAATCATGACTAAGTTGAATACATAAATAATGGAAGTGCCAACTTAAAACTTCCAGTATAAATAATAATGTCCTTTTCTTCAAGCTAAGTTGCAAGAGTTAAAAAAAAACCATTTCAGTATACCATTTTCATTTGTAGGAAAATTCTTTTCATGCTTATCCCTTTTTATGCCCCCCCCCCCCCCTTTGCAAATTTTTTTGAAGCAAAATTCAGTTATAAATACCTTCACTATTTTAGGGATGTTTGACTACCCTAAACTCCCTCTCCCATTTGTTTCCCCTTTGGACCTTTTCTGTGCTTGTCAAATTATTTTTATTTGATCCATGTATAAAGGATGAGGTTTGTATTCTTGATTATCTATTTTATGAGTATCAGTACACATATTCATATCATTACAGAGAATTATGGAACAACATCAGGAGAACAGAAGGAATATGCTTATGAGGTAATTTATGGTTTGTTAACATTTGAATGCAATATCTTCTTTCATTAAAATTTAAATAACCATTAGGGTATATCTCCTTCCTTGAAGATTTCAGAGCTAATGTGTGTTTCTTATCCATGTACCAACTGCAAAGAAAATTGGGGGAGTATGTAGGAATCACCTTGTCTATCTGTCCATACAATCTTGTCCGGGTTATAATTTGTAATGCAAAACCATTGGAAGCTCATACATGGTACAAAGATTGTTTCTGAACTGAGTGTGGATCTTGACTTTAACTGAAGATCATTCTGGCAAATTCAAGGTCACTGGCAGAAAATATTGCATGTGATCTAAGGGTATGTATTGATCACGACCTTAGGTCATTCCAAGTCAAGATCACTGGCAAAAGAGTGTTTTATACCCTGTCTATAACTCTCAAATGGAGGCTAATTAGAAGTTGATACTACATGCAAAGATTGGTTATGACTAAAGGGTGCATCATGATTTAACCCAAGGTCATTTTGACAAGTTCAAGGTCACTGGAAGAAAAAAGTGTTGAATTTGTGTCCTATCTATAATTTTTTAATGGATCAACAGTGAAAGTTCATACTTCACACAAATTATACTTATGTGTTGAAGGTGTGTCATGACCTTAATTCAAGTCATTTCAATGAGTTCAAGGTCAATAAAAAATAAAAGTAAAAAAAAAAGTTTAATTGAAGTAGAAACTTCAAACAAAGATTATTCCTAAACTAAAAGAATGGCTAACCTTGACCCAAGGTCATTGTTATTTGTGACAAGTTCAAGGTCACTTGCCAAAAAAGGGTAAAATTAATATCAGATCCATACTTTTCTAATGGAGAAACATTGGATGTCCATATTTCAGTCAAAGATAATTTATGACAAGAGTATGTGTGTTTTTTTAAACCAAGGTCATTTTGGCAAGTCAAGGTCACAATTATGAAATTGCAAATGAGCACTTTAAACAAATGGCAATGGAGTATTATTTTGTCACAATACCTGTAGTTTACTTTGACAGAAATCTACTAAATTCTGATCTCCTCCAAAGTAAAGATTAATGTATAAGAATACGATGTATATCTAAAGAATGAGAGCATTAATTTTTGACTGCACCAAATAGTGCTTAATATGATATTGGAAAATTTGAATACAATCAGTCACTTTAAAGTGTTTAAGGATTTTCAACTTTTAGTTGGTTTGTCAAAGCATTTTAGGGAGTAAGATTGAGTGCTTGGGGTGAGAAAAGCATTTTACAGTCCATAAGCTATATCATATTTATATTTTTTGCAGATGGCGTGTTCTAATATACGATATGGAGAAGGTGTCACCAGAGAAGTTGGATTGGCAAGGATTTTAATTTGTCTTTATTATTAGCTCACCTGAGCCAAGGCTGATCAAAATGTGTTCATCTTTATTTTTGTCTGTTAACTCTTCTTCATGAGAACCACTGGACCATTTTTGCAACCTAATTTAGCACAGAGTATTCTTGGGTAAAAGGAGTTTTAAAAAGTTTGTTCAATTGAAGGGCCATGTCTGTTCCATGAGGAGGTAATCAAGAAAAGGCAAAGATAGGGTGGGGCCATTTAAAATTCTCCCCAAGAACTACTTGGCTACTTAAAAAAGATTAAACATACGCTACTTGACTTAGTATAGATTCAAGTTTGTTCAAATCATGGCCGGTGCATGAGGGTAGGGTGGTCAATTTTTTTACAATGAATTATGTAGAGGAAAATCTAAGAAAATCCTCTTGTCAAGAACAGCTAGGCCATCATTAGTCACATTAATTTGAGGTAATTATCTACAGATTACCTGGTATGCATATTCAAGTTTGTTTAAATCATGGATCCAGAGTAGGGTGGGTCCACAAGAAACAGTTTTGTTATTATTAGAAAGGAGACAATTTTGCTGCATACGTAAAGCATCATTAGCAATACAAAAACTGATACTCCAAGTAATGCACTGTAATATTTGTAAATACATGTACCAAACTTATTCCTTGAAAAAAATGTCATGTTCACTTTTGTTTAAACATTTAAAAAGTAACATGGAAAATCAAATCTGAAGTAATAACTACATGTCTATCTAGAGCATAGTATGCAAAAAATACTTAACTGCTTATAAAGTTTCTCCATGACAAAACATGTATTTTTGAAAGTTTTGGTAGGATATGCAGGTATTGTCATCATTAGCTCACCTGAGTTGAAAGCTTAAGGAGGTTGGATCCTGTCTTCAAAAGTAATGAGAATTTTTTATCAAGTATATTTTTAGAATTTATACACATAGCTTAATTAAAAATCAAAACAAAAAATGGGGGTCAATGCGCTTCTTTTGGCGCTACAGAGCATTTAGTTTGACCTTTTTGCACTGTAAATACGTCTTACACATAAATCAATTTTTAAAGTTTTTCCTCCAATATTTTTTATTCAAATAAATTATGGGAACAAACACAGCCTTATTTCATCTTGAATAGACACATTTAAATTTGTGACAATGAAAAAAAATTCAAATTACTCCGCATGTTCAATTACTTGACCTTTTTGCACTCAAAAAATTTCATTTTTCCGGCATTAAAAATTTAACAAGCAAAAAAAATAATTTGAAAGTAATGACATTTTACTGAATTTAAGAAGAATGGTTAAAAGTATCTTATATATTCAGAAAAGAAAATAAAAAGTGGGGGTCTGTAATGTTAATTTTTAGATATTACTAAAAAAGTGCCAATTTTAAGCTTAAGTTAGGGCTATTTTTTCTTGATTTTTCACAATATATTTGCTATATTTATCAAATATGATGATAGAATCCATGACAGTTTATTTGATATATAATTTAGAACCAGTATAAAACAGTTCACTGCACAAAATAACTCTGTGTGCAGGCTGCATAGAAAAATAGGAATCCAAACTTAACATACTTTAAATACTTCGAAAAAGAAATAATGATCATTTTCTTCGAAAAAACCTTCCGCCACAAAATATAGTTCCTCGCTTAATGCCTTTGGTATGGAATTTAATCATGAAGTTTTAACTGAATATTGTTTAATTGGCATTGTAGAATCCAAATTTATTGTAAGAATTAAAACTTTATGCAGAATTTTTGAAATATAGGTTAAGATATAAATGTGCTCAAAAGCTCAGGAGCGAACCTCGTTAAGTGAGCTTTTCTGTCAGATCACATCTGTCTCAGTCTGTCTATCTGTCTTCTGTAAACTTTTAACATTTTCAACTTCTTCTCAAGAACCACTTGGCCAATTTCAATCAAACTTGCCACAAAGTATCCTTGGGTAAAGGGAATTCATGTTTGTATAAATGAAGGGCCGCACCCTCTTTCAAGGGGAGATAATTAAGAATAAGTGAAAACATGGTGACATCTTTTAAAAATCTTCTTTTCTATAACCACTGGGCCAGAAAAGGTAAAACTTATGTGAAAGCTTTTTTACATCATGTAGATTCAAGTTTGTTCAAATCATGTCTCAGTTTTACACAGGAATATATAGGAAAAACTCTTTAAAAATCTTCTCAAGCACAGCAGAGCTATGATTAGTCATATTGTTATGGAAGCATCCTCAGATAGTGTAGATTCAAATCATGACCACTGGGGTTGAGTGGGGCCACAATAGGTAATCAAAGTTTACATATAAATATGTAGGGGGAAAAATATGTTGATTAAGAATAGCAGGGCCATAGTGACTGAGGAGAGCATTTTGGCCCATAGACCTTTTGTTATTGTAATTTTAGTTGTTTATTTCATAGTATTTTTTCCAGGATTGTAAAAATCTGGGTGGAAAGAACATTTGTGTTATGACAGACAAGAACTTGGTTAAGTTAGAGTCAGTGAAAGTGGTCTGTGAAGCTTTGGAGGATGTTGGTCTGAAGTACAGTGTGTATGATAAATGTAGAGTGGAGCCATCAGATAAAAGGTAGATACAGGGTGTCTCAAAACAAATACATGTAAGAATGTACATACATTGTTAATGGTTTCATCTACTTATTGTACAAAGAGAAATTAGTATCTGCCCTACTGGAGACATCTTTGCTTTACTGAGATGTGAGAAATTTTAACTTCTTATTTTTTCAGTTTCAAAGATGCCATTGATTTTGCCACCAAGGGTAATTTTGACCTGTTTGTGGCAGTGGGAGGTGGCTCTGTGATGGACACATGCAAAGCTGCCAATCTTTACTCCTCTAACCCAAAGGCAGAGTTTCTAGACTATGTTAACGCCCCTATAGGGAAGGGCCTGCCTGTCACTCATAAAGTCAAACCACTAATTGCTGGTAAGCTGTCTTCTGGTAATTCATTCCATTGGTGTCAAGTATTTCATTCAAACAACTTTATTGAATCTATAGAATGTACAACAGTGGTTCCACCATGTTGATAATATCATTTTTAAATGAAGGACAGGGATAGCCATTTTAAAACTTTCAAGTCCACTTTCTCTTCAGGCAAGTAAACTCAACTTTGACCTGTCCAAATGTAAAACAGTTGCCCAAAATTTAGAAGGAGGTAATAACTTAGTTTAATATTTTTACATGTGTTGGTAGGCTAGGGTGCTGGTACTTCGTTAATTTTGATTTTTTCCCCAAAATTACTTTGGTAGAAATGACCACAAAGCCATACACTGCAGTTACTACAAAATATTCATATTATGTCGAATAAGAGAAGTTGAATACCAAAATGTATTTGGTCTTATTCATTGTATACGAAGGGTTATCAAAGAGTTTGTGGAAATGAAAATGACGTCAAAAAGGGGGAGGTGTTTCTTTTTCCAACATTCTATAAAGTTTCGCTCCTGGAAATAGGAAATGTTTAACAAGCTACGAGAAATAAAATGCATCCAGAATACTTGTTTTTTAAATGCCGAAAAAGATTCAGAGAGATGAGAGATGCACAATTAATGTCGATAATGTCGATTTGTAATCAGGGCATCAAAAGTCAGTCATGTTGAAAAGCACAATTAATGTTGATAATGTCGATTTGTAGTCAGGGTGTCAAAAGTCAGTCAAGTGACGTTGATCATGTGTGGTAAATATTGAACTCTGACAAGCAGAATATGCTGATATAATCAAGTGAGGATCTTTCCCTATGTATAGTTCCATTTACTTAAGGAATCACTGTCTAGTTAGTAGAGTATGCCAGGGCATCAACAATAGTTGGAAACGTGGGATAATTTGCTTCGCCCATTATGCAGAATGCAAAAACAATACTGTATACAGGGAAATCCCCCCCCCCCTCCCGTTTTATTTTCGCCCCTTTTGCCCTACTCATAGTTGAGCGAATTTAAAACGGGGTGAATTCAAAGAACACAATATATTTTCATAAACAGAACTGTGACTGGGATGAATTCAAAGAACACAATATATTTTCATAAACAGAACTGTGACTGGGCGAATTAAAAACGGGGCAAAATTGTTTGAAAGTGTGAATTAAAGGGCGAAAATAACATGGGGCGAAAATTACCTTGTATACAGTGTGTATCTTCCTGCATGATTGAAAAACCATGTCTTAAATTTATTACTTAAGTATATATTAATTAATTCAAGATAAAGGTACATGTATATGTTTCTGTCAGAAATATTCACTTTCTTGGTCGGACGAGTACAATGAGTGTTTCAGCCCAAATTGAGATTTTACTTACCCAGAGCAAGTGGACAACCATTAACTGTGTATTTCTCAAGGATCTCGTAATTTTGATGATGTAGAATTGTTTGGAGTAAGAAAACTAAAATATGATTTGTTATTCTCTGTTTCAGTGACAACAACAGCGGGAACAGGGAGTGAGACCACAGGGACAGCTGTGTTTGACTTTTCTGATATGAAAGCAAAAACAGGTTAGTACATTACATACATATTTTATACAACTACATTTAAAGAAAAATATATGTACATGTATATGATATCTTGTTCATTAATTATTCTCTTGCAACTGATGGATGAAAAGTATTTTTCCTTGGCTATCATTTCCTTTTAGTTGAGAATGTTCGATTTTGTAGTACATTTTTAATGTATCATTTTAGAGTTATGTTGTTTAAGGTATTTCAAACAGAGAAATTCGCCCCACACTTGGTATAGTTGACCCTTTACATCTCAGAACCATGCCAGAGAGGGTGACAGCATATAGTGGAATTGATGTTCTATGGTAAGAAGAGGTTTACCATATGATAAAGTTTTTAGCTCACCTGAGCTGAAAGCTTAAGTGAGCTTTTCTGATCACCCGTTGTCCGTCGTCCGTCTATCTGTCTAGCTGTCCTTCCGTCTGTAAACTTTTCACATTTTTCAATTTCTTCTCAAGAACCACTGGGCCAATTTTAACCAAACTTGGTACAAAGCATCCTTGGGTGAAGGGAGTTTAAATTGTTAAAATGAAGGGCCAAGTCCCCTTCAAAGGGGAGATAATCAAGCAAAGACAAAAATTAGGTGGGGTCATTAAAAAATCTTCTTCTCAAGAACCACTGGGCCAGAAAAGCTGAAACTTATGTGGAAGCATCCTGGGGTAGTGTAGATACTAAATTGTTCAAATTATGACCCCCGGGGGTAGGGCTGGGTAACAATAGGGAATCCAAGTTTTGCATTGAAATATGTAGTAAAAATCTTCTTCTTCTCAAGAACCACTGGGCCAGAAAAGCTGAAACTAATGTGGAAGCATCCTGGGGTAGTGTAAATTCTAATTCCTTAAATCATGACCCCCGGGGGTAGGGCAGGCCACAATAAGTACTACGGGGGGTGGGGGGGGGGGAGAAATCAGGTGAAGAACAGCAATACCAAAGTTACTCAGGTGAGTGTTGTGGCCCATGGGCCTCTTGTTCCAATTCTTTATAGTTTCTGCATGAAATAAACAAGAAATATTGACACAGGCATCAAATTAGAGTTTTCTTGCACAGTTTCTGCACTTCATGTCAATGAATGCAGAAATCTGTACAATCATGTATTTATACTCCTACTCTTAGTTATATTTTGGATAAAAATATACGAAAATAGTAACATGTGAAATAACCACGTTAAGTTTTGTCTACCGTACTATGTCAGAAACTGCCCCACAAATCTTAACATATTGCCAATCCTTAACAAATGATTTCTAAAAAAAAATTTGAAACCTTGCTTAAAATTTCTTTTGATTATAATTGCAATTTTTTTTTTCATCTGAAATGCAAATTGTTAAAAAATACAGATGTTTGATTTGAAATGAATATGCATTACTGCATTTTTTGTCATACTACATGTACACATATCACTTTTATAACTTATTACAGAACCGCCTACTGGCAGCCTATCATAACGCATATTTCATATCATTATACGGCAAGTATAGAAACACTCAGCAATGTGGAGGAGACTTACATTGTTCATTGAATATTCTAAAAAAAATCTCTTCTAGCCATGCTGTAGAATCCTATACTGTATTACCATACTATGAGAGAGTCCCTCGTCCAACCAATCCAAACCTTCGCCCTGCCTACCAGGGTTGTAACCCGATCAGTGACATTTGGTCCAGACATGCCCTACAGATAACGAACAAGTATATCAAGAGGTAAAATCAATATTTATGCTGGTATTTAATTGAGTATAAGATCTTTTGCAACTAAAGAATGATATGTAGAATCAGTGCTCTAAAAGCAAGTTCAATTGAGACAATTTAATACATGTATATTGTTTTTTGGTATGCCTGTTATTTTATTTGAATGTTCAGGATCACTGCTGATGTTTATGCTGCTACAATGTCATTTTCCAAAGTCAAATAGTTCTTGGCCAATGTATGTGTTATTTAAAGTTTGAGAACACTATAGCAAGTAGGTTACATATCTACTTGTACAGTACCAGTATATTTTTATAGGGCGGTGTATGATGCCGGTGATATGGAGGCTAGATCCATCATGCATCTGGCCAGTTGTTATGCAGGAATTGGATTTGGAAATGCTGGAATTCACATGTGGTAAGGTTTTAAACCTAGAATCTCATGCAAGAAACATAGGAGTTTCTTTTCTCCTATTTTTTCCACATCAGTCAACATGAAAATGTTCTCTTGTACTACATGTATCATGATTCTCTTACTGTCATAATTTAACTGGCTATTTTTGATTTTATAGCATTCAATATAACATGTATTTATATGATTACAAAATTCTTATTGTTATACCTTTCGAAATTAGTTCCTATATAAAACTATACTAAAGAAAAGTCTAATATTTCTTATGTTTTACTGAGTGGTCATAAAAAAAATCAATGTTTGACCACAGAGTGAGATATTGGACCTGTGGACAAGATATTGGACCGCTTACGTCACACTGTGGGCGGGACGAGCTAAATCTTATTTGCATTCGTTAGTATGGAAGCCAGCAAAAGATACATGTATAAAAAATAATTAGTAAATAAATAAAAGGTATAAAAAAACATTTATTGACTGGCTTCTCGGGTAAAATGCGTTTTGTCGACCCCTCGAACCAAACTCTTTGCCTGAGGCCGTTAGGCCTCAGGCAAACAGTTTGGTTCTTGGGTCCGACAAAACACATGTTGCCCTAGAACCCAGTCAATAAATGTATAAATTCTCTTTTCTTTTTCAGTCATGCAATGTCTTACCCAATCTCTGGTCTTGTTAAATCCTATATGTCTAAAGGTTATGATGATGACCATCCAATGGTGGTATGTATCTAACATTTACATAATTTGTGAACAAGTTTTTAATTTACTGCATTACAAAATTTTTGCATATTGTGGGAAGAATTTTGCAGTTGTATCAAAATTTTTAAACATTATTTTTACTATTCATATGTATATGTGAATCAATAAATCTGATTGGTTTGCCTTATATCTGTATATATATATTTAAGTGGAAAATCTGTAAAAATTTTCTTCTCAAGAACAACAGGGCCAAATATTAGTCATAATAATATGCATATATTTTTATGAAGACAAGTGTTAATTTGAGTTTGTTCAAATCTTGGTCCTGGGGGTACATTGTAGGGTGGGGCCACAATAGGGAATCACAGTTTTACAAAGGAATACATACAATGAAAAAACCTTCTCAAGAATAGCATGGTCATAATTTAAAAGTCATAATTTTTTTATAATATGCAGAGATCCTCAAGTATAAATTCAAGTATGTTCATGGTAAGGGGTGTAATAATACACAAATACATCAATGCATTGTGATACAGAGAAGGTCGATATGATGCATTGATACATACATGTAAAATGAGAGTCAATTTTTTCAATACTTTCAGAATGAATACAATCCCCATGTTTTGGTTTCAAAATTAGAATATTTGCTTAATACACAACAATGGTAGTACTCATTAAAAACCAAAAGAAAAGTTAACTTTCTTCTTTTTTAGAAATTAAATTTCAGAAAATACTAAAGATGTATTAATTAGAATAAGATTTTTTTTTTTAAAAAAGGAATGCTGAAATCTATATTTTCCTTTCTTAAAACCAGAAAATAATCATGGAGAAACCTGTGATTTAAAAAAAAACTTGATATATTATGATATATTGCAATATTTTTAGGTCACCTGAGTCACTCAGGTGACCTATTGCTATCTGTTTTCGTCCGTCGTCGTCCGTCGTGCGTCGGTCGTAAACTTTTGAACATTTTTAGCTTCTTCTCTTGAACCACTGAACCTATTTCAACCAATTTTGGCATATAGCATCAACGGGTGAAGGGGTACAAAACTTGTGAATTTCATGGTCCCTGCCCCCCTGGGGCCTGAGGGGTGGGGCTAAAACCATCAAAATTAGCGCTATCTTTAAAAATCTTCTTCTTTACTCCTGGACATCAAGCAGTCAAACTGTTGGCATGATTGTAATAAGCATTGAGCCCTCTACCAAAATTGTGAAATTCATGGCCCCAGGGTCAGGGGTTCTGGTGTCAGGGCGGGGCTCTATTGATTATATAGTGAAAATGCATTAATTCTTTGAAAATCTTCTTCTCTGCTCCTGGGTATTATTTAAACAAACCAAGTGTATGATAATGATGCACAAGGATGATTTTTCCGAAATTGTGAAATTCATGGCCCCAGGGTAAGGGGTACTGGTGTTAGGGTGGGGCTCTATTGATTATATAGTGAAAATGCATGAATTCTTTGAAAATCTTCTTCTCTGCTCCTGGATATTATATAAACAAACTAAGTGCATGGTTATGATAAGCATTGATGCCTTTTCCAAAATTGTGAAATTCATGGTCCCAGAGTCAGGGGTTCTGGTGGTTGGGCAGGGCTCTATTAATTATATAGTGAAAATGCATTAAGTCTATGAAAATCTTCTTCTCTGCTCCTGGATATAGTAATGGTGCACAACGATGCTTTTTCCAAAATTTTGAAATTCATGGCCCCAGGGTCAGGGGTTCTGGTGCTAGGGCAGGGCTATATAGATCATATAGTGAAAGTGCATTATTTCTTTGAAAAATCTTCTTCTCTACTCCTGGGTATTATTGAAACAAATTGAATACATAGTTTTAATAAGCAAGGGTGACTCTACCAAAATTGTGAAATTCATGGCCCCAGGGTCAGGGATTCTGGTGCTGGGGCGGGGCTATATAGATCATATAGTGAAAGTGCATTATTTCTTTGAAAATCTTCTTCTCTACCCCTTGGTATTATTGAAACAAATTGAATACATAGCTATAATAAGCAAGGGTGACTCTACCAAAATTGTGAAGTTCATAGCCCCAGGGTCAGGGGTTGTGGCGTTAGGGTGGGGCTATATAGATCATATAGTGAAAGTGCATTATTTCTTTGAAAATCTTCTTCTCTACTCCTGGGTATTATTGAAACAAATTGAATACATAGTTATGATAAGCAAGGGTGACTCTATCAAAATTGTGAAATTCATGGCCCCAGGGTCAGGGGTTCTGGCGCTAGGGCGGGGCTATATAGATCATATAGTGAAAGTGCATTATTTCTTTGAAAATCTTCTTCTCTACTCCTGGGTATTATTGAAATAAATTGAATACATAGTTATGATAAGCAAGGGTGACTCTACCAAAATTGTGAAATTCATGGCCCCAAGGTCAGGGGTTCTGGTGCTGGGGGGGGGGGGGGGGGGCTCTATTGATAATATTGTTGTAAAAATGCATTATTTCTTTGAAAATCTTCTCTGCACCTGGACATATCAGAGGCAAAAAGAGTAAAAGTTTTAATATAAAAAAGATTTTTGAACATCTGGACCATTTGGTCAAGTGTTCTGGTCCTGGCCAGAGCTCTATTAATTTGTATTCAACTGAGAGGATTTATTCCCCTTTGCTATTTACTTTTGATAATTAATCACTGTAAATAATGTACTTGAAAGGTTAATAGAAGAGGAGAATTATGCAAGATTTTTTATTGTATAATACAAAAAGTACTTTTATAGTTTAAATGATCAGGTAGACTTGTAAGTAATAGATAAATAAAAACGAGACAAAAATAACTTGTCTTATTCAATGTTCATGAAAGACCAAGAGAGTCCAATGTAAGGGATTTCATTCAGGAATTGAAATAGTACAGAATCACTGATAATTTGTTCATATACTGTATGGTGATAGTAATAAATGGGGAACAGATTAGAACCTAATTTATGAACTGTTAATGAACAGTAGACTAATTATTTTGTTGATCCTGATCACCCTATTTTTCTTGCTTTTGGGCAACAAAGCTTCACCTTTCAGTTCATTTTATACTCTATGGATCCTCTAAATTGTTGTATTATACTCAGGTGACCGTTAAGGCCCTTGGGCCTCTTGTTATGAAATATCATGATGCATCCTGATACAATTTTTTATCACAATACACAGCCATTTTGATGGTCACCAGGGGTAGGATGGGACTACATAGGGGACAGAATTTTTAAATGTGAATAATATATAAAAAAAATTGTTTAAGAATGATCCTGAATTTTTTGTCAAATTATGGATCCTGTGGTTTGGGGATCAAATTTTGTATAATGCATGTATAATGCATGTATATTGAAAATATCTTTAACAATCTTCAATCTCCAGAGCAGCAAGGTCCTGTTAGCCATATTGATACAGGTGTAATTAAACACCCCAATGTTGTGTGGATTCAAATTCATTTAAATTATGAACACTTGGAACTAGGTTGGGGTCACAATATGGGATCAAAAGACTTGTTTTACCTTAATTTGTACTTTTAATGTTACTTTATTTTCATGATCTCTAGCCACATGGTCTCTCAGTCATAATAACAGCACCAGCTGTGTTTGAGTTCACGGCCTCAGCCTGTCCAGAGCGCCACCTAGAGGCAGCACAATATCTAGGTATGTGAGGTCTTCATTGGTGGAATATATAACAAATAGCAACAGAAATTTATTATTTCAATCTAGGTCTTAAGGTGAAACAAAGTACATGTAATGAAGATTGGTATTGTAGTAGAGACTGGAATACCTACCTAATGTATAAATACATGTACATGCTGTCAGAAAAAGAAAAAGTTCTTTATACATGTACCTGCATATATATTTTCTGGATTTTACATTTTTAGCTCTACTGGTCAGAGACAGAAGAGCTTATGCGAAAGTAAGGTGTCCATCATCCTTCAGTCTGATTCTGTCTGTCTGTAAACAATTTTTCAAAATGCTAATCCTCCTACAGTTTTGGTCTGATATCAATATAACTTGGCACACAAGTAAACTAAACTAAGGTACATAATTCTATATATCAGTTTTCAATTTCGATGGATGTTGCCATGGTTACTAAAAATAGAAATTTCTGTGAAATACTTTCAAAATGCTACACCTTCTACAGTTTTGGTCTGATTTCAGTATAACTTGGCACACAAGTAGACTACACTAAGATACATAATTCTCTGTGTCGTTTTTTGATTTCGAAGAATGGTGTTGCCATGGTTAATAAAAAAAGAAATTTCTGTGAAGTACTTTTAAAACATTTCTCTTCCTACAATTTGGTCTGATTTTAATATAACTTGGCATGCAAGTACACTACAATGAGATACATAATTGTCTTTATTGTTTTTTTTATTTTGATGAATGATGTTGCCATGGTTACTAAAATCAAAATTTCTGTAAAATTCTTTTAAAAGGCTACTCTTCCTACAGTTTTGTTCTGATTGCAATAAATCTTGCCACAAAAAGACACTAAACCAAGGATCATTATTCCATTTATTGCTGTTGCAAAGTTTCAAGTCCAAGTGCAACTTTTCTCTTCCTTTGTTAAAAGTTCAAGCCAGTAGAGCTACAGTCTTGTCAGAGACTTCTGGTTTCCTTTTGAATTCTTTTCAAATTTTAATTGTGAATGTGGTAAACTGAAGTAAAAGCTCACTGAATAATGACTTCAGGTGTGGATATAACAAACAAGAGGAAGGAGGATGCTGGCCCTGTTCTCGCTGACCGACTGAGACAGATCATGCAGGACCTGGAGATGCCAGATGGACTGTCTAGTCTGGGATACACAAAGGATGACATTCCTAACCTAGTCAAAGGAACAATGCCTCAGGTAAGAGACACCAAGGATGACATTCCTAACCTAGTCAAAGGAACAATGCCTCAGGTAAGAGACACCAAGGATGACATTCCTAACCTAGTCAAAGGAACAATGCCTCAGGTAAGAGACACCAAGGATGACATTCCTAACCTAGTCAAAGGAACAATGCTTCAGGTCAGATACACCAAGAATGACATACCTAACCTAGTCAAAAGAACAATGCCCCAGGTAAGAGACCCCAAGGATGACATTCCTGACCTAGTCAAAGGAACAATGCCCCAGGTACGTTACACCAAGGATGACATTCCTAACCTAGTCAAAGGAACAATGCCCCAGGTAAGAGACACCAAGGATGACATTCCTAACCTAGTCAAAGGAACAATTCCTTAGGTAAGAGACACCAAGGATGACATTCCTAACCTAGTCAAAGGAACAATGCTTCAGGTAAGAGACATGTAGGATGACATTCCTTACCTAGTCAAAGGAACAATGCCTCAAGTAAGACACACCAAGGATGACATTCCTAACCAAGACAAAGGAAAAATGCCCCAGGTAAGATACACAAAGGATGACATTCCTAACCTAGTCAAAGGAACAATGCCTCAGGTAAGATACATCAAAGATGACATTCCTAACCTAGTCAGAGGAACACTGCCTCAGGTAAGACACACCAAGGATGACATTCCTAACCTAGTCAAAGGAACACTGCCTCAGGTAAGATACACAAAGGATGACATTCCTAACCTAGTCAAAGGAACAATGCCTCAGGTAAGATACATCAAAGATGACATTCCTAACCTAGTCAGAGGAACACTGCCTCAGGTAAGACACACCAAGGATGACATTCCTAACCTAGTCAAAGGAACAATGCCTCAGATTAGATACAAAAAGGATGACATTCCTAACCTAATCAAAGGAACAATGCCCCAGGTAAGATACACAAAGGATGATATTCCTAACCTAGTCAAAGGAACAATGCCTCAGGTAAGATACACCAAGGATGACATTCCTAACCGAGTTGAAGGAACAATGCCTCAGGTAAGATGATATCAAAATTAATAAAATAAATGTATGTTACTTGCATTTTAAAAGCATAAAATCTCTGAAAATACGAGGGTGATCAAAAAGTTCGCAAACTAATTGAATTACTTCCATAAAAGAAATAAAATTAGATTTCAGTGTTCATTATTTTTTAAAGTAATCCTCTCTAATTTTAATGCACATCTAAAACCGTTCTGCCCATGCACGAATCACGTGATCCAGGCTGACACGTGACATGCTCCATAGCGTTCTGTTCATAGAAGCTAAAAGATTTTTCCGAGCCTTATATCTCTTACCATGCAAGTTATTTTTTATAACAAGAACAGTGTCCTTCTGTCAGAAATGGCCAAATCTCGGCAACAGGATGGGTGGATAAGGATATCCTTTCCCAGAATGAGAATGGTGACCATCACAACCCGAGTCATCTGTCTTAAGAGCGTCGTTTATCCAGTGTGGATAAAGTATGGACGCCTTCTTTTTATCATATCTGATATGTTTAAAGTCTAAAGCAAACGACATTTTAGGGATTTTTAGGTCACCTGAGTCACTCAGGTGACCTATTGCTATCCGTTTTTGTCCGTCGGCGTGCATCGTGCGATGTGCGTTAACATTTGAACAT